TGTTCAATATTTTCCTCCTCGCCTTCCATAAAGCTAAACACGCACGTCCCATGTCTTCCTATTCTCAGGCTGTTCCTTTACTGAAGTGGCTCGGAGTAAATGTCGGAGGTGCATATCGCGCACGGATCATGCAGAGCATTGCGCACACCATCAGCGGGGAGTTGCGAGCCAAGTTGCAGTCTGTTGGGGGGCTATTTTGGGGGCTGCTTTTTGATGGATCTGAGGACATCACAAAAACTGAGCAGGAAATCGTTTACGTTGTGTCTGTGTCCAACAACGGAGAGTTTACCTCGGACTTTCTTGGACTGATTGAACTGGGTGCTGAGCGAACCGTGCAGGCCATAACAGACGGACTTGTGAGACTTTTCCAGGACACCGGCTTGGATGATTGGACAACTAAGTTAGCTGCTGTGTGCACAGACGGGGCGGCTGTCAACGTCGGTATGTACAACGGTGATGTACCAAAACTCCGGCAACTTGCTGCAGTTGGAGACTCTGTTGTGCACATTCTGCGCACAGCACACACACTTGAGAATTGCGCAAAATCAGCTCATCGCAACGTTCCTTAGTGTGAGACATTTCATCGCTCCGTGGTCAAGCTGCTGCAGTTTTATTTACAGAAAGGTGGAGCAAAAAAAACTGCTGCACTGAAGATGCTGTGTGAAGAAAATGGGATCTCCTTTGTGAAACTGGGTAAGTTTCATAATATCAGATGGTCTGCGTGGAGGCATGAAACACTATTAAAAATATCAAGACTATTGCCAGCCATTAAAATGCAAGTGGCTATGAGTGATGACAGTGACTTGCAGCACATCTGCACAGAGTTTGAAATCAGATATGACTCCCTCAAGTCATGTGGTCGTTTCTTAGTATTTGATTCTTCAACATGGCCTAAGGAAATGCAAGACCTCTATAGTTTTGGAAACACAACAGTTTGCAGCATTCTCAAGAAATATGAGGCCATCTTGCAACTTGACAAAGACACCACTGTGACAGAATGGATGCGCTTAAAGCAGGCAGGAAAACGCCTGGGAGCCTCTTCTGTGTATGACTTGGTCCAAATAGTAAATAGAAGTAACCCAGAAGCTTACTCCAACATCAACAAGGTGGTTAAGCTGTCTCTTACACTGCCTTTAAGCAGTGCAGCTTGTGAGAGCGGATTCTCACATCTCAACATAATAAAAAACAAGTACAGAGCTCGTCTGTCACATGCTCGTCTCTCCGCCCTGATGCACATTCACCTGTCAAAGCAGACCACAGACAGTCATTTGACCCAAAGCAAGCTGTTAACCTGTGGATAAGGACAGCTAATCGGAGAATCAACCAAGGACAGGGATGTGCATCCGCAGTATCTTCATCATCTACCATGCAGGAAGCTGAAGCAGAGGACAGTGGGGGCGACACTGAGGACAGTGAGGAAGACTGCACTTATTAAGACCACGCTACATATGGAGTGAGTACCAAACACCATCTCCCGGTACTCACCGAACTCACTGAAAAAGTTATGTGCACCCCGGAATATAATAGCATCATAATGCAAATACGCTCTTTCAAAAAACAAAGAACATTTTATACGTGAGAATATTTAGACATTGAATTGGAATGTTAAAAATACATCCTAAATAAATAAATAAATCAAAGAAATAATGAGTGCAAGGGATGCGGGGGCGAAGCAGGACGGCGGTCCGGGGACTTTGCCCTCCGCATGACCCTCCCAGCCAAACAGGCAGACCCGTGGTCCAGAGGAACAGGTTGACTGGCTGGTTGTGATGGTTGTGTTTCAAGTGAGATTCTAAGTTAGTTGTTGCCTCTTTTTGGCAACATACCTGCTCGTTCATGTCTATTCATTTCTATCGCTTTCGATGAAGAAAGCTGACAAGAGGACAGAGACAGCGCGATCGATCGAAGTTTTGGTGACATTGATTTTTAGGTAAAAATTAATATAATATATCGCAGCACCAAAAATTATCATTTTCAAATCATAATTTCGTGGCAATTGAATCTGGAGTTGAACAGCTACGGAAGGTCACAGGATTGACTGCGTGCATTTTAAGGGAATAGTTGAGTACGTCACCGGGCCTGGCAGACACTGACTGAGCGCCGTGCTTCACATTCACCGGGTCCTGGGCTCTAACCGACAGTCTGCCCGCCCAGGGCGGCTTGATCCCAGAGGCCACAATGAAGTCTATTATAACTGTCTCCGGTTGCTGGATTACCCCAAATTGGGGTGTGAGTGGACTTCAGCCCGGAGCAGACTGGGTGGAGCCACAGCCGTAGGACCTAGCTGTGTTAGCTTAGCCTTAGTCTCAGCTCCCACCTTCACTCCGCCATCACGGGTTCTCTGCTACCATCATTCTTAACGCTCTGCTTTCTTGCCTGATATGTCTCATTATCTGCAGTCAACTTATCTTCAGTTGTTCCTTTTAAAGATTTGATGTGTTTTGCATAGCAATTAAGCGCATTGCCTAATCATAAACAAATGATGCTGTTTTCTGGAGGTTACAGAAGTAGATATGACCTGCTCACCTGATCTCAGCTAGCACAAACACAAACACACACACAGCACACTTTCCCACCATTTTGACCAGCTGTTGTGTGCGCATGTTGTGTTATTGTGCATTAATGTGGCCCGACAGCGCCTGTGTCACATGTCCGGTCAGGGCGGTTGACGCTGCTGTGCACGGACAGTGTGACTCATCGGACAGGCGTGCGCTGCAGCTTTGTCCCAGCTCCCCTAAAGCCCGCTGCCTTTGTGTGTCTCTGAGCGACGCGGCGGTGAGGACACGTATCATGCGCTGCTGTTTTTGTAGATTGTAGATTGTTTTGCTGCTTACTCGGCCAAGTGCTCGCCAAGCACCTGTTGACTTTTGAACCAGCCGGTCACTCTGCAACCTGGTGGTGTCCAGCTGTCCAGTCGGTCAATAGTGAATAAATATCACAGCTTATAATGAGACCGGCAGCCTGGATTATCGCCAGTGTTCCGCCTGACCTTATGTTATTTCAGTTACGTAATAGAAAGATGTGTGTTATGGTGGACCTGTAAGGTGATTTGTTCATATAGAACAAGTAGTCCTGGACTCAGCATCCTGATCACTTGGCATGTAATGCCAACAGCTTGCATGTTTGATAATCCTCCCTACAAATCAGCTGACCCCAACAGTATTGTACCAGATTTAAAACAATTCTTAACTAATTGTGTACAGAGCGCTCTGTGTGTGTGTGTGTAAGAGAGTCTTGTTGTACTACTGCCTGCTGAGCCACAGATGGCAGCCCTCCACCTCGAGCTTCCAAGTGACCTGCAAACGCAGATGTGTGTGAATGTGTAGCGTCGGCTTTGCTCCACGTGCAGGAGGAGGGCGGTCGACTGCGGATCTGTTGATGCCTGCATAATAACACTCTTCTCTGCTGTTGTCCAACGTGCCACTTGCCCCCCGTTTCATTTCTCCTCTGCTCCTCCCCGTACATAGAAACAACCCGGCGACCGTCAGCTTATACATTTTTGCATTGCCAAAGTAGATATTGCCTGATAGGATGAACAGTGAGTTTTAATTACTCCAATGCCCTACCCTCAGCGCAAAACAGACAAGCCTTCAAATCAAGTATTGTGGTCTGGCTAATGTCTAGTCAGGTCCAACTCTTGGGGGACCCTTCACGACTTGATTCTTCATTAACTGAATGGACTCACTCAAATATTCGAGGCAGCTGTGATTCCTCATGCAGTGCTAATGCCGTCCAAATCGACAAAGGTGGTCTTTTTAGTTTCTAGTTCCCACTCTGCCGCCCTTTTATGTGCAGTGCTGAAGCCTCATAATTCATTATTTCCTCATATCTGCAAAAATGGCTGAATGGGGGGCTGCTTACTGACAAGTCCTACAGGATGAGGACTGTAGATTTGTCTGCCATGACATGGATTGCAGTCGCGATAGCACAGGAATGCTGAGTGGCTCGTGTAAACAGGAGGAATGAATACTAATGACCAGCAGAGCTTTTTTAGTGCACATATGAGCATGTATTTATAATGCATGAAAACTCTTAATACCTGAATACGTGCCTATCTAATCCTCCCTCTCGCCGTGACTCACCCTCATTGGCCTACTTGCTTCCACCTGTCTTCAATATCATGCAGTCCTGGTTGTTCACCAATTAGCACCACGTCATTTTCACCAAAAAAAAAACAACAAGCGAGGAGTGGAAAGAGGAATGTGAAGCTCTGGGAGGCTTTGGGCATCGTTCCTCTACGTAGGTGGTATTATCTCTGAAGTGTGCCTGGCTCTCCCACTCCTGCTCCTTCTCTTTTAATCCTCTGCACAGTAGGTGTGCCAGAGAGACAAGACTGATATTTGCTTAAGCAAATCCACCGAAGAGTCGACCCTTTTTGATCCACTTCCAAAATTCCAGCATTCACTTTCACTCGATCGCCCGCCACTTGCGCTGTCTCTCTTGCGCCCTGCCTTTGTGTCTCTAAACTCAAATTTCCCCGCCGTGTGTGACATTTATTAAGAGGATTACTGTTAAACATAGCGCTAGAAGGATGCTCCATTTAATCATGGTCTGCAGCGGTATCACAATATAGACTTCTCCAGCCATCACCACCATTTGACACGGCCTCACAAGGCATCTTTGTATCACCAGAGAGTCTCACGTCGCACACATTATCTTCTTTTCTCCCTTGTGTTTATCTCTGATTTAATCTCTGCGATCAACATTCTCCGTTTGTGTCGAAACCGAGAGAGAGATAAAGAAGTCGGGCCGTTACATCATATTTCCAGTGTCAGTGTTTCCCCAAGCATTATACAGGGGTGGCCGCAGCACACAACACCTCCACTAGAGCATGGGGAACTAGACTGATCTGCTCCTGTTTCCCCGCGGCAGTCACTTCTCCACCTCACACTCTTTTGGAGTCAATCAAATCACTGCACACGTAGTAGTTCTTTTTAATGGTACACATAAGTAGCGCATCAGAAAGGACTCATTGCTGTTCTCTCTCTTCATCCTCACAGTGAGCACTTATCGTGTGCCTTCACATTCTTCTTGCACGGGGAGAGCAACGTGTGCACGAGTGTGGAGATCAACCAGCACCAGCCCGTGTACCATCTGACCGAGGAGCACCTCACTCTGGCCCAGCAATCATCCAGTCCCTTCCAAGGTATGTTTTTATATTCGTTTTCTCTTGAGTACAATGCCACTACTTTGTTAGCAGCTAAGAATCCAGCGGGACAAGTCCAAACGCACCGATGGAGCTACAACAATTACAGCAAACATAACGTTCCTTCAGGAATTATTAGTTTTCCTTAAGAAAACGATATGAAAGCTTGTCGCTGGGACACATCATACGCGCGCAGGGTTTCCTGAAAGGCTGATCAGCAGCTCAGTGGCTGGATAAACACCTAGACAGTGTTGTGCTATAATTTGTCACTTTGGTTTGACCATCGAGCGGCGCGCCACAGTTATGGCGAGACACAACATTAGCCTCCAAGTATGCGTGTGACAGATGAATAAATAGTGTTTTTTGTGGGAGGGAATAAATACTGCTACCCTGTGTTGCTTTTTGTTCTCTCTCTAGTTCTGTGATTTAACACAACCTCAGAATGCCTCATTCTAAAACAAAAGGCCGTAATCCGCTGAAGCTGCCTCTGACATTTGCATGCTTGTACACGAGAGCGTGCATTCAAATTGTAGCCTAATTCTTTCCATCTTTTTTTTGTTGTGATGTCAGCTAAAATGTAGGATTATCTGAGGACCCAGACTGCTAATATGACTTTTCATGGTGGCCCCACTGCAACTTTTGAAAAATCAACTTCTATGGCTTCGTCTAGCAAAAAACAAGTTAATCAGACAGAGTCAGAAGGTACTCAACTTCCAAGAAGCCAATTTGACCATAAAAAGGAAACCTAAAGATGTTTTTGTATGCACATTACTGCTTACTGCGATTAATCTAAGAAATAGCATCTTCTGAAACACAAGTTAATCCTCAGAATTCAAGGATCCAAATAACATAGCACTTTTATTTAGCTAAGCCCACTGCCTGTTGGGCCACGGAGATAAGGTGGGAAATACCAGAGTAGATAACAGAATTATGCTTCCAGAAGCATTTATCTTTTAAAATATTATCTTGTTAACGTAAAATGCTGCTTCTGTTTTATGAATATTGGTTAACTGTGTGTGTGTGTGTGTGTGTGTGTGCGCGTGCGTGCGTGCGTGCGTGCGTGCGTGCGTGCGTGCGTGCGCGCGCGCTGTTGCCAAGATAACGTATACACAATCTTCAGTCAGTCTTTCATTACAGATTGGCCTGCAGCCAAAAAAGCAAAGCGTCTGTAGTCCCTTTAAATTATAGTGAAGTGTAGCTATAACAATATGTGGCGCTAATGATGTTCAATCATTGGCTTAAAATGCATTACCCCACCTTAAGCCGAACACTATATAATCCCAAAAGCATTGTTTGTTTTCATTTCCCCTCACTCAAACAAAATTAATGTCATAAACATTTACTTTGTGAAAGGAAGGAAGGAAGTAGGTAGCTCTCTGAGCAACACAACTACAATACAAATAAAAGTATGATTGTATTTGGAACAAAGTAAGGTTTGAATATCTCGCTCATGCATTATTTGTCTGTATATTGCTTATTTCCCCGGCCCTTCCCTCTCCAGTACCTGTCATATCAATGGACGACAGGCCGTGGACTTAAAGGAGTAATTTGCCCACATAATAACCATTTAGTAGTCGGGCCAACGAGTTGAGGGGGAGCCTCTCATCGGTCAGAACCATTCCATACATCCTTGCTCATTTCCTTACTCTGATGACTTGCACTGAGCGGAGTCAGGTTGCTTTTGAATAAAATTAAATGTGTCCGTTAGAAAGCAAGGATCGCTCATTAGCACTACCAAGTTTTCCGTTGCGCGGTGACCCGACGTGATGGTTATTAAATGGCAGCCGATCTACCGGCACTGGCTTGGCGATTGGCCTATTGGGACCCCTGCTCCAGATAATACACACTTTGTAAACCCATGAGATTTTGCATTAGTCAGACGATGATTTTACACAAGTCAAAGGTGTCCCTGTTTACCCGCTTATTTTCAGTCAAATACACGTGATCCTTACACAACTCCCGTGGGTAATAACAGTGATGTCTTCCTCCACTCACTACAGTAATTCCCATATAGCCCACCCATTAACTGTGTAGAGCTCTCCTGAAGGGAGGTGATAATGTCCCGTCTAGTTAAAGGCCAGTGCCTCGGGTAAAAAGACAACGATTATTGGAGCTTAGCCTATGGATTGCTGTAAGGATGGTCAAGGGGTTCCCGGTCATTTAGGAGGATCATATTGCTTGCTGGCCACCGACTAGAAGATATGTACTCATTGCTCATTTTATTGGTCAATGAATGTCCTTTTCCCTTTTGAAAAATTGGCATGTCAAGTTTGTCCGCACAGACACACACGTCTCCTCTTAGTCCAACATGAGATAATATAGCTTCACTAGAATAGCATGAGAATCTTGATATAAAAATGGTAACATGGTATAAATTCTACTGTAATGGGACACGGGTAAAACCATAAGGCACCCCTGGGGGGGTCCTGCACCTCCACCCCGCCCCTATGTTGAGCGTGAAGCAGACATGCGTCTCTGCAGTCATTTTGTCATTGAGTATGACGAGTGTCAATACACAGGTGTGTGTTTTCACCGCCGCAGTGCATCTCCTCCTGGCTAACCAAGCATGGCGCTGAGGAGGGGCTGGGTTCCATCCCCCTTCATCCAGCCAGACCCCCACCTCCTCTTCTCCTCATCTCTGCCAAGCTTGGTTTACTGCGCGGCAGAGCGCTTCGAGCAGGCAGAGCTCTCCAGGATGTGACCTCATAAAAGGGCGCAGAGTGAATGTAATGAACTCTCAGCCCATTACACTGATCTGAGCACATTTGACGTCTCTTCAGGGAGCCAGAGAGGCTCGGAGAGAGTATGGTGTGGTGGGAATGTGACGGGGGGGAGAAACGGTGAAACATTTGCATAATTCTGCTGAATTTGATCTCTCTTCCACAACTAGCCTCAAGTGTGTGTGTGTGTGTGTGTCTGTGTGTGCGTGCGTGGAAAGAAGTTGGGTTGAAATTAATTAAGGTTAATATGACCGACCATGGCTGGATGCTGTTTTGTTCTTCCCGCTGCAGGTTCATATTTGCTGATGTATTATAAAGATATTTGTTTTTTGCAAGTGTTGTCGGATTTGGTAGGTGTAAATCTCATTCTCCTTTTACGACCATTTACTCATGTTGGTACAGAGGCAGGATCAATACCAGGGGACAGAGGCCGTCTAGTTATGACACAGTAGAAAAGCAGCACGGAGAAGGATCTTAACTAATGTCCACTCACACCTGCGTGCGCATCTGAGAAGGATATGCATGCGCTTTCCATGCTTTGATGTATGCATTATGTATGTAGCTTATGGTTCTATCTGCCCTCTCTGATGGATGTGTGTCTGTTGTGTCCGCAGGCAGACTGATGGGCTCTCTGTGCGCTCCCGTATGTGTGTGCAGTCAAGTGTGTTTGCAGAGGAGCGTCCCTTTTTATAAGCCTCTGTTTATGGGCTCTGAGAGGCCACCGCTTGCCAATAATTGGCGTCTGGATTGCTCTCTAAGCATTTGGCGAGTCAGACGGGACCGGCTCGGTCCAACGAGGCTCTGGAAAGGTCACTGCTGATTTGCCCGGAGATGAAAGCATATGTGGATAAAAAGAAGGGAAGGATGATTAAGATAATTAGATTGTTGCAATAGTGAAAATGGAAAGAATAATGACATATGCATAGTAAGAAGGTATGAATTGAAGGCCAGAAGGAAAGGGCATGAGGTAGTAATGATGGGAAAGGAATTTCGACATGATAGGAGGATAAAGATAAAGAAAAGGAAGAAAAGAGGTAAATGCAAAATGGCAAAAGCAAACCGCTAGACATTAAGGTTTTGAAGAGGAAACAATGGAAGGGATGGAAGAAGACAGAATGAGGACTGTGGAATGAAAGGTTCAAAAGGTGAACAAATGTTGGAGGATTTATAAAAAGCGTTTTAAGGATGTAGAAAATATATAATACTGGAAGGAGACGTAGGAGGAATGATTAATGAAAGTAAGAAGAAAGGATATGCAGGCTGTGAAGGACATCGTTCGTACCAGCCATCCCAGATCCCAAATTTAGGGGTCAGAATCTTTGTTTACCTCTCACCTTAGACCCTCAATTCGGATCAAGAACGATCTTATATGATTTTATATGAGTGATGAGGGATTGAGGTCAGTGAGTTTAAGCTGTCCTCATGCTGACTAATGTTGTCCCCCGCTCACTGTACCTAGTGATCCTGAGTCCTTTTGGCCTGAACGGGACACTGACTGGCCAGTCGTTCAAGATGTCAGACCCGCCCACCAAGAAGCTGATTGAGGAGTGGAACCAGTTCTATCCCATCAGCCCGAGCGCCAAAGATGGTGTGTCGGAAGACAAAGCAGAGGACATGGATTGGGAGGATGACTGTCTGGCCTCTGTGGAGGTCCTCGTAGGTCAGTTTTTTGCAATACGATTGCAACATTGTTTAAATGTATAGGTACCTGCTTTGATTCTGAGTGCTTTGGTTGTGTGAACATGTCTCCTCTGCTTGGGCAGGTGGTGTGCGGATGCTGTACCCAGCCTGCCTTGTGCTGGTGCCCCAGTCAGACATCCCTGTTGTGGCCCCTGTGGGGTCCTCCCACTGCACTGCCGTATACTCGGGTGGCCACCAAGTGCCTGCTTCCCAGCGAGAGCCCGCCATGTCTTTGGTGACCCTCACCCCTCCCACATCGCCTGAGGAGGCACATACAGGTAATGGTGTGACCACAACATACATGCATAATGCCTATAAAGAGCGAGAGATGCTTTTGATTGGATCAATCGTGAAGAAACTCTACCGAATGTCTGTTTCACCCTGCTCTCCCCTTCCCCCAGTGGACTCTCACTTGGCCCAGAAGTGGGTTAAGATGCCTTCATCGTCTGATGCGTTCACTGTGGATACAACAAGTCACCATGGGGGCAAGATTCCACGGCGGCAAGCCAGTCAGGTGGTGGAGCGCGTCTGGCAAGAGTGCAATATCGACCGAGCCCAAAACAAGTAAGTCGGTCTGTTTTTTCTGGGGAAAGTGGCGCGGTTTGATCAGCAATGCTACATAGAAAGCTGTAACCAAAGGATTGTCTTTGTGTTTTGATTGGGGCTGCGGTAGGATTGGGCGGTATATCGATTCAACCGGTATATCAGATTTCCTCACGGAATTACTTTTTGACATACCATCATACCGGTGTGTAGCCTCAACAACTGATGGTGCTGTTCAGCAGGCAGCAGAATTTTTTCAAGAGCTACTTACGTCATGGTTATAACATTTTATAACAATAACCCACAACTAATGCTCCTTAACGGGATAAAATGCCACGACACAACAGCTTTTGACACATAAAGAATTTGTAACACTGGGACATTTATAAAATAACCCCGGCCCACTATCACAACAACAAGAAACTCTGTCGCTAACGTAACATGAAAACGCATAAAAGAGAGATGCAGGAGGAACAACCAGAGATGCACCAACACAACTAATGCCGAAGAGAGGAGCTGTGTCTCTTTGGAGGGTTTTTGGTTTTGAACCCAACCCAACCCAGGTGCCATGCCTGGTAAATTAAATGGAAATAAACACTGAAGTGCGTGTTTTGAATTTCAGTGAAGTGGTCAATACTTCAACATTCCCTGAATTTAGTTATTATTTTGTCATTCACTATCCCATTTGCCTGCCAACCATTTTGGTGTAATTTCCCCGTACTTGACACACATTAATGCAGTTAAGTAGTGTGTGTATGTGTATATATCTATATATATTTAACTTTTACATGGTTTTCTATTATATCCATCATTCATGTATCAACTAGCCAAAATACCAACATACAAATGAATAATAGTCTCTAGTAATTAAAGTAAGGATTAGCTCTCTGTTTTGTCCGTTGTATTATTCACCATCAGTGAATCTGACACATTGGGAGCAACCTGGGGTCCGTTGCCTCTTGACCAAGCACAGAGTGTCGGCTGGAGTTAGCCGCTGGGCTTGTCAGCCAAAAATATTGTTGCTGCAAGCAGAGCGACAAAATCCGCCGTACCACAAACCACCATATACAAAAGGGACACAAGATGGGGTATTTCTTTTCGTCACAATTTACGTTTATTTGTGTTTATGCACAAGACTAAAGAGCTGCCCTACTCGCAGACGAAATTATCCATTTGTAGAAATGTGTTTCAAAGTTGTTTTTCTTCCTCAGGCGAAAGTTCTCGGCCGCAACCAACGGTACCTGCGAGGAAGAGCGGGCTGAGAAAGCGGGAGCCTGGGACTTTGTGAAGCATTCACAGAGGTCATACTGCAACTGTTCCAGGTCAGTCACTCACCTTGTGGATATTATACAGCATATGCACGTATTGCGCTCACGTGTGCTCATTGACATTTCAAAGAGGTTAAACAGAGTCTGTGGAGCTTTGAACACCGGCAAGGCTGTAGCCAGCAAAAATATATGCACATCTAGACTGACAAGCATATTATTCTTCAATTCGTCACTGTTTTGTCTAAGTGACAGCCTTGCTGGGTTGAAACCTCTTCCGTGGCGGTGTGTTGCTGTAAGTCAGACACTTGTCTTCCTCCCCTGATGGAGTAATTTGCGGGGTAACAAATAGCCTGAACTCAGACGGAGCACTCGAGGGACGTAGTTAAGCGTAAAGAGGAGCGTGCATGTTGCTGAAAAATGTATTGTATGTAATGTAATGTATGTATGTAGTATTGTTGTTTTCCATGTTCGTCACATTTTGGTTTAATAACTTTCTTTGAGGCCTTTTTAGTTAGTTAGTTATGTTTAATTGTTAATGTTATTTTAAAACCAAAACTATACACATTTGATCATCTTGGAGGAAGAATTTCACCTGGTGGAACATGTTGAACTAGCGACTCTTCCTGCTGTCCTCGTGCACTTTGCTCTCAACTCTCCATCATTTGACGGCTGGGTTTGAAGTGCCAACAATGTCCCCACATTTAGCCAGGAAGTTTTCCAACTACGTCCTTTTAGAGACACAGTGGTGTACAAAGACATAGACACAGACAAAGGTACGTTAAACTACGTTAAAATATTTTGTCGCATCTATGAGCGAGTGCTATCAAAACAGATCTTTGTGTATTTTGATTGGTTGAAAGTGTGGGCATACTTCCATATGGGAATCCTTTCGCACTAGTTACGTCACTGATGAGGGAGAGGAGAGCCGCTTGGGCCGCAGACAAGTGCAGAGTGGACTGGGCCAGTCAGCTGGAGCATGCTAATTTGTTGGAAGTCGACCAGCACTTTGGCGACAAAGATATGGGAAGCTGTGTGCATTGCCAGTTTTATTAACTTTGTTTTGTAGATGGAACCCTTTCTGTGTCTGCTTATCTTAACATCTAATTGTCAGCACACGCTAGTAACCGGGCTATCAAAGAGACAAAGCCTCCTTATCAACAACCTAATGTCTGACCGCAGCAGTGGCCTGAGACTCTGAAGGAACACGGATGTCGACCAGGCCATAGACAGCGGTAGTGTGTGAGAGGAGGTGAGCCAGCTGGCTCGGTGTGTTGTCTGGTCTCCGGGTGTCCACAGGGGAACCAACAGATACTGAAGGCCACGTGAAGACTTGCTATTGTGTATTCAAGTGTAAGATCAGCCTCATTTTGACTCGCCAAATACACAGTAGAGCCAAGAATGAGTTATATATTTTCTTTCGTTAGCAATTGGTTGTTTGCTTTATTGATTTTCTTTTTGGATGTTTACTAAAAGGATATTGAAAGGTGTTGTAGACGTTCTCCCTCTCGCGTTATTGGTGTTTTTATCAAATTGATTGGAGGTGAATGAGTGGAGCTGTCACGTTCTAGGTGAGAGGATTGAGTTACTTTCTCGAAGAAGCAGATATGAGGGTTTAGAGCAGAGGTCACTAACTGGCAGATCCATTGCATTCGAGTTAGGCCATCCTATGTGATACCACCTGACCAATAAAGTCTTTGCATTCGAGGCAGGAGAATACAATCTTAACAGTGCACAGATTAGAGAGTTAGCGGCAAATTACAAATAAAAAGACTTTAGGAGGAAAAAGACGATAGAGACTGAGAAAGCGAGAGAAAGGGACAGATGAGAGAAAGTGGACAGTGAAAGTAGAGCATTCATCCTGAATGGACTTATTTGTGTTCATACTTCCCACTGGAGCACTAAACCAGTGTGTCCCATATGCTTAGAAACCATAGCACTTATTGATAAGTGCAGATGTGAAACGCTATCATGGGGCCCAATGAGCAACTCTACGTCTAAATGGGAAACAGAAAAGGGGAAATTCAAGCCTTTTTTCCCTTTATTTTATTTGTCTCAATTAAAGCACTTTTTTTGCATTTGAACAAAACTTTCACAGCCGCACTTCATTTAGTTATTGAGAGAACATTATTTACATTTGCAGAACTTGTATGTTCAGTTCTTTGTTACGTGATAATATGTATTTGCAGAGTTTTTGAATCGTACTGAATTCATTTGATTCGTCAGTTGTGTATTGATTACATGCAGATATTGATACAACTATTCCTCTCTACCATGTGTGAAAGTGCCTATTACACACCCTGTTATAATCATAGGGAAAAAAATGTATATCTACATATACTAAGATAGATTTCACTGGTACTGTACATATAGTATAAATATCTCTGCTGTTTTTCAAAGTGCCACCGGTGTCTCAAAGTCTCGCCCTTCTTTCTGATTCTCTTCTTCTCTGCAGATACAAATCAGTGAAGCAGAGAACAGCGAGCACCCCAGGCCAAACTCCGTCAGTGGGACAGACCTGCCAGACGCCCACCAAGCACAAAGCAGGGGGAGAGAAGCCAGAGAAAGGTGACAAGCTGCAGAAAAGACCGCAGACACCTTTCCATCATCGCAGCCTGACCAGTGATGACGTGTCAATGGAGGCCGAGGCATCAGCTGGCCAAAGGTTAGCCATGACGGGCCAGGACGGAGGAAGATTCCCCAGTATACGCTCCACGGATGTGTCCAGCATCCAAAAAGCCTCCCAGCTCCACAGTGGGGGCATCAGCGCTGGGCCGTCGGAACAGGCCAATTCTCCCCAGCCCCCGCCACTTAGCCCCCACCCCTGCGAGCGTGGCGAGGAGTCGGTGGAGGGCATGAAGAACCCTTCAACCCCAAACAGCCAACACTTTTACCAGCTGCCCCCGGAGCCCTGCCTGGTCGGGGTGAAGGGGGGCAGCGAGGGACACGGAGGGCCAGAGGGCCTGAATCAGCACTTCCACTCCCATCACCCCCACTCCCACCCTGGGGCTTCAACTTACTCCGACCCCCCGGAGCCCACTGTGTATGTGAGCGCAGCGGTCAACTTGGAGGAGGACGGCACCCACTCACCATGGCGGTTATTCAACCTACCGCGCAGGAAAGAAGCCGAGCTGCCCACGCCATTGCTGCCATGGGACAAGCTAAGGGACGAGCCCTTGTCATCACAGGACAACCTGGTGTCAGTCACAGAGTGAGTGACACCTGCAGAGTTTTATATCACAAGTTTTCCCTCGGTCACGTACATAAACACACACACACACACACACACACACAAAGGCTTCAAACCATTCACAGGTAGGCTTCCGAACCCTCTATTTCCCACCCTTGCCCCTATTAACACATTGGTGAACTTTAAATAGTCAATATATATATATATATATTTTGTATAGTATTCATGCAAAACCTTCTTTTTCTCATTCTCTTAATTTCATATTCCTCCACCTGTCTGCTTCTGAATGTTCAATTTAGCATTCAGCTGGATACGGCGTGTTAATCTTTTACTACGTGCCCTTTTGACATCATGCACTAGCTTGTGTGATTCCCTCACACACACCAACACACGTGCACAGAAGTACTATGGTAGGGTCAGATGAAGATATACCTGCTATTGAAAACCAGTTAAAGGTTAAATGAATACTGTTAGCTGGCATTGAGCATCAGTCTGCACCAAGAACAATTTGCGAGGGGGCGGCGGCGAGAGGGGGAATTATTGGCGGGATTATTCAATTCCAACGGGACAACCGCATGGAAGGGCTTTTCTGGTTTTCGGTAATCCAAGGGCCCCCCCCTTCCCCCCCCCCCCCCCCCCCCCCAACCACAGCTCTGAATGGCGGCCAATCTCTGGCTATGGCCACTGCGCAGCATCACCTCATATTGGAGCTGCAGAGGTATGACAAGAAGACAGAGGTGCAGGGAAATAGAAGCCCCCCCTCGCACCCTCATCCCTCTCTTTCCTGTTGCATATAAGTAGACCCCAGTCACACGAGAGACTCCCATGAGCCATGTCAGAGTAACGAGTGACAGACAGTACGAGCACTCTGTGCCGCAGTCACCACGTCTCCATAAATCAGCTAGAAATGTAATTGTCTGACAACAAACATGATGCATCAAGTTCTGCTGCCTGACACCTGTCATGATTGTTTTCATCCGCTGCCATTTCTGTTTCTGCAGATAAACATGGTAGCAGCTACGACAAATGATAGCCGGCATGAGGCCAAACCAGAACCGCTTAGGAAATGTTCCTGTACACAAATTTAAAAGAGACTAATTTTAGTTGTTGTTTTCTACTGCGAGACAATTCATCAATTTTCCATTTACAATTCTTCATCGTAATATTTGCAAACTGGTCAGACTGACATCTCACAATAAGTGATGCACCCATTGAAATGATCTTTCCATGAATTGCAATAGATTTTTCTGTATACATATATGAAGATCTCTATTTGGTGTATAACATATGAATAATTTTCTGTTTTTATTTACAAGAATGTAAAGGCATATGTAATAAATCTCACCTACCAACCGATGATTTCTCACACCTCAGTGTTCCCTTTCTCCCCAGGGTGATGTCCACGTCTAAATGGCCCCTTAAGGTGTCTGAAGAACGTGTCCAGATGTATCGAGCCAGGAGGAACCAGTTCCTATCCGCTGCCATAACAGACGGGGATCATGAGCCAGAGGTGGACCCCTACGCCTTCGAGGAAGGAGATGTCAAGTTCACATTCTCCAACAAGAAGGATAAGGCGGGCGGGGAGCGGGAGCCCGGCAAGAAACACAAGGTAAGCCCAGCAGAGGGGGGAGGAATGTTTCTGTCACTCGTCAAAGCTGCGCAGTATGCAATGGATGTGTTGTACCTCCTTGTTAAAATGATCCCACGTCATTGTTGTTGCACTGGACAAGAGATATTATGTTTTCTGACATGTATAACTACAACTACATGAAACAGATTTTGCCACTCGCTCCCATACAAGCAAACCACTGTATCTTGTTTAACTGCATCTCTTACAACACAGACAGGCCCACACCAACATTTGAACGAATCAGATCCACATATTTGAAATGTTTTTCCGATGCTTTTATCTGGAAACCTTTTGGGGAATATTGTTTTCATTTTAACAGCTCAAATGAGGACTAAACTTACCAACATGTCACCTGGTATTCTGGGCTTTTTGCTTTAGGCTCTGCAACTCAACAACAATTTACGGTAAAAAGGTCATGCTTATGACCAGAAACACCCAACAAAATTCAAGCATCAATTCAACTGAGCTGCATCAACAAGCAGTGTGGCAGGTATTGTGGTGGGATATTAATGCAGCTCTGCTACGGCTTGGAATGCTCATAGCTCCTGTCATGAACTTTACCTTTTCTATTCAACACACTGCCAAGTTGTTATTGTGACTAGATGATCTGAGAAGTCACGTTGAACTCCGCTTTGCCAACAAATCAGCCTTTCACAGTGCCTGTTGTTTGCTTTGAACCAGCTTGCAGCCACACAGTTGGATTTGATAAAAAAAGAAGACTGTGTTAAGTTAAGCCTTGCTGAAAGGGCACATGTAGAGGAACCACTTCATTCACAGCTTCCTCACTCGCTGCACACGCTAGAAAGGAAAGAACAGGGCTGATTTGAAAGATCAGTGAGCAGGCGAGGGTAGAGAATGGTCAAATCAGCGTTCTCTGCGATACTGCTATTAACATAACAGTACCTCCGCTTTCACTGTACAGGAAGCTATCGCTGGATCTCCGGGATCAGGAGCCCTGAGGAACACCAAGTAGTTTGTCTGTCCAATTTCCTTTTAAGTTACTTGTTTCCTCTTTGAGCTCCCTCCTTCTTCCTCCTTCCCACCGTGTTCCTCTGCCTCGGGGGCTGTTGGCTCCAGCTCCAGATGAGGACCACTTGTTTGCCTCGTAAGGCCCCCCAAGCGCTGCAAGGGAGACTTGATGTGTGTATTTTCATTGCTCTGCTGCATGCTTGCAGCAAGCTTCACAGAGCCGGGAGTCTAACCATGGCAGGAAAACCAGGCTCGCTGAACCATTCCGCTTAAAAGGCACAGTCAAATATTTCCCTTCTCCTCTGTCCCCCCGGTCTTTGCTGGAATGTAAGGGTGAAGACAGCTCACAGTGGAAGGGGGGGAGAGTCCCTGATGAGCAGTCTGTGCAGCTGAGCCGGTCCATTGTCTGCTTTGTGGGAATGGGTGTGTTTACCCACCACATGCGCTTGCGATTTCTCACTAACTTTGTACCTAAGATAATTAACTTCCTGCCTGGCTTGTATAGAATACAAACCTGGAGCATCAAGAGAATTTCCTCTTGATGAATTTAGTATATCATGGTAAAAGTTGAATTACTCCATACTACTTTGCCCCTTTTTATGAGTGTGTGTGTACAGCTTGACAAGCAGCTGCCTATGACTATTAAACCACTTACTGTTTACCACTCGACCACAGAAACCTAGTGTGAACCGTACGTGAGCATCCCCAGCCATCAGGCGACAAAGTCCTCAGACTGGAGAGTGATTGACTCAGCTGCTGCGGGCCATGTGACACACGTTCTGTGCTGGAGCATCATTATATGGCACTGCAGACAAGTGGTACACCCATGTCACAGCCTGCTGAATGATGAAGTGAAAGATAAGTGCTGAAAAAAACAAATAAGCCTCAGAGAAATGGAGGTAGTGAGATGGAGGGAATGGGTGATGGGAGGCCTTCATGCAGCCACTGAGTTTAAACAAGCTTTTACAGAATGTAAAGGCTCCATGCACACTTCCCCTCCCAATGCCAGGATATTCATAAGGGGTTGAAGCACCATTACCGCCTATAGACTGTGATCTTGGCGCAGACGTTGTGCGCTACTGTGGGTTCTTCCTTTAAGGGAGAGAGATTAAAGACTGCATGGCTCAGAGAAAAGCCTTGGAGCGTGATGAAATCAATGACAGGGACATAACATTCCTGATCCCCAGCTAGAACTGCTCAGCTCACAGTGTTCGTACAACTAGTCATAAGTCAGCACATAAACACCCCCCACACACACACACAGAAAAACATCCCTCGCAGATATTGATGTCTGGATGGATTCCTTGGATCATGATTTGACTCTGATCCACACTGGAAACCACATTTGCCAAGCGGAGGCAAGTTGTCCTTTGTCTCTGTTCTGTTTCAGTCCAATTTCTATTTTTTAATTATGGCTCACTTTTATGTTATTCATATATGTGCCTTGATGGGAGCTAAGGAACCCCCTTTTTAAAGGTGGGCTGCCGACTGTTTTTGCCTTTTCTGTTTTGTAAATAATGGAGACCCCAGTTGGGGTCCAGTTGAATCTATTCGTCTAGTTGTTAATCAGTTATGGTCTCAAAGGATTTTTCACACTTGCATCATAACGCTGTATTGGAGCCGACTTTACTCGGCAACAGATCATCATTAAGCGCACAAAAAGGCTTCCTTGACATTGAACAGGTGTCGTATTATTATAGACAATGTGTCTATGTAGAGCACAGATTATGGGCATTGTTGGTTCAAATATTCCCGGTGTGATGGATCCATCTGGAGTAACTTTTTTTTTTCTCACTTTTTTTGTAACCTTCCTGCCTTTTTTTTCCCTCACAGGGCGAAGATGGAGGAGCTGGTACATCAGATGGTAAGCAACCTGGCTCAGTAAATGTTTTACCTGAGGTTTAAAAAAAAATGTAAAATTCTGTTTATTTAGGTTTAAAATAGTTTGCTGTCAGAAGACAAATGTCATTAATAAAACTTTTATATTTTGTCAATACCGCCACATTTTTGCATGCCAGGAAACAATACTGATGGAGCCATTCATCTCCCTCAATGTCCTTTTAATCTGAATCGGTGTTCCACTCTTGGAAAGTGTAACTGAGACTTGATCATAAATGAAGCACAACGGTGCATTTGAGACCTAAATATTTAGTTGAGTTTTTCTCTGGGCCCTCGGGAGGCTCCTCAGAGAGATTGAAGAGGTTTAGAGTGTGATTAGTCAGTTCATTATGTGCTAATCTGATATTGCCATATCCCGTTCCAACAGTGTTAACCTTATACTAACCTTCCGAATTGTGATGTTTGAAGAAGAGCTTTGCTAAAGCTACAGGTTGCTTATTGATATTCTAGCTTGTTATAATCTGCATTATTGTTCACTTGTCCCTGAAACCAGAAGCTGTTCATAAGGACACTCTACACACACGTTGGTGCTAAGCCTTCAGTTTCTTTTACCAATTACTGGGGATTTCTTCTTTCCTTTTTGTAACTGTTATGAGATATACTGCCACCCTCAGAAGGGTGAGACCATGGTCCTCGTTGCATCTCAGTGTTCATTCAGACTGACACGCTTTCAAGTCACCCTTTCAGTCTGTCAATCCATACTGCATTCATGCACTTAATAATAAGCCATTTTAAAAATATATTGATATTTTCATTAATTAAAAAGATATGTCATGCCACAAACATTTAAATAAATGTATTGAAAATATCCAACTTTCTAAATTGATGGAATAGAGACCGATAAATTAGTGAGTAAATGAGCCCAAAACAATATTGGCTCAAAACCACCCTTTCACTAGCTTCTCAAGCCTCCAAAGTCTACTTGTGGACATTGATATTTAAGTGTTGACCGACCAGCGTTTGTGTTTCTTTATGCAGATGCTCAGCGGGCGGCCGCTCACAACCGCATGGCTTCCACCAGCCTGATCCACGAGACAGACCTGGTGGTGTCCATCAACGACCTGGACAACCTCTTCAATTCGGACGAGGATGAATCGGCGGTTAGTAGAGACATTTGCTTACTGTGCAGTGTGTGTGTGTGTGTGTGTGTGTGTGTGTGTGTGTGTGTGTGTGTGTGTACACACACACGTCCTTGCTGGCATGCATGTGCCGGAGCGGTGTCTTCACTCTGCCCATCACCGGCTGACAATTCTCACTACCCACTTACCGGTTGCTCTAAGACGTTTTCATGTGTGATACTGACTTGGAGGGCCCACAGGTGTGACAAACTTGACAGGGATGAATTTGGAGCAAGGTTATTAACTGACACTCTGAGTCACCAAACTGGTGCTAAAATCCTTCATTTTAAAATTGTTTTTTTCTGTTGTCCACAGCCTGGTTCCCGGCGACCGGTGAATGGAACGGATGAGAGATTTGCCGGCAAGGAACCGAAGCCATCTACTTTGGACCCTGTATCCTGCATCAGTATGTATCTCTACATCTGTGCCTACTGATGTCTCTCCCTCCCTCTTCTCTGAACATGGATGTGCCGTTTCTCCTCAAAGTACAACGATCGATTCAGCTCAAATGCTAATCTAGAATCAGATTGGTCATAGCCTGTTAGCCCCTTGAAAATTATGAATGGTACAGCGGGATTTCGGCAGAAGCCACTTCAGTTTAAAGCTTAGTATTCCCTCTGCTCACAATCACAGCAAAGTGCATCATATCCTTTAATCCACTGTATAAAATTGAGTCCTCTACTACATCTGATGCTCACCCTTGAGCTGGACACCTAGTGGTGGAGAAAATGGCTGTAATTAACTCCACAGTGCATCGGTGTCTCCCTTTACCTGTTGTCTGCTTTGTCACCATGTTGTGAGCTTTCTATGTTAACACCACAGTCTCAATGTTCCACCCTATTCGGTGACACAACCGAACTAGACCTTATTGCTTTTATTTCAGTTAGTTATTTATCCTGAGGTTTGAGCTTTGGGACACAAATGTATCGCTAAAGTGAATATCATTTTTATATTTTACTGTGAAGCAAATTGGTCTCAGGTCAACCATTTTGCTTTAGTTTAATGAGCAGCTGCTGTACAGTCCTAGTCTCTGCCCAGTGATCATGAATTATGTTTGTTAGCCCCCTGAGCGCATCTCGCAATTCTAAAAGGGGTTTGCGAGTTTGAGGCCTTCGCTGTTCCACACAAACCCTGTGGTCGTATGTACATAGATTCTACCATTAAAGCTGTTCTTCTAGTGCAGAGTAGAAGGATCTTGTCAAAATAAAAACAATATTAAGAGAAGGCGCTCCTGCTTCTACCCAGCTTTGAACTTTACTTAAATCGCTCTGCTGGGGCCTGTAAATATTCTTGCTAATAAATAAAGAATACAAAAAAACATGCCAGGGTAACTGACAAACTATGTAAACACATCGTCAGTCGTGGGCGAGGATGCCTGTCACAGGTAAAGTTTGTCTAATAATTAGTAAACCCGTTTTTAGTATTTATATGGTTGCTGCCTATAGCAACAGCTGCTTGTCAAATGTTGTTACAAAACACAATCACATACATCAGCCTGCTTCTCTACTGAAGCCATACTAGCAGTTTACATTAATTCATCCATATTGTTATTTTAAGAATTAGTTTGCGGCACATTACATGTCATTACACTTTTATCCAAAGCGACTTGCAATAAGCACAAAGTGCTGTTTGTAGCTATAATATCTTTTGGCATATAACGGAAACCGACATATATGATGTGTACCTCATAATCAGCAAATTTAGGTGTGCATTTGAAACATCTTCTGCACAATTAAATGATCCAGGTCATATTGTGATGGACCCTTTTTCTTTTCTCCCACCAGGCTCAGCAGATCTGCACCAGATGTTTCCCACGCCTCCCTCCCTAGAACAGCACATCATGGGGTACTCACCCATGAACATGTTTAGCAAGGAATACAGCATGGAGGCCAACACGGGCATGACAATGCTAGACGGCACCTCATCTCTGGGAGGCCACTTCAAGATTGAGGTGGAGGAGAGCTTCTGCAGTCCCAAGCCATGTGAGATCAAGGTGGGTCTAGACCGTGACAAAGAACAATTGACTCCAATAGGTCGTATTTAGTGCACCAAAACCATTGATGCCAAATGCAAGGAGTCATTGATGGATAGGTCTTTAGTTTGAAGAAGCCGAGTGTCCCCATTGTCAGAGGCTGCTCTTCAAATTACGACTACAGGGTTCAATCCAGCTGTCAACAAGTATCTACCCAGCTGAAGTTTCCATGAGCAGCACATTAAACCCTTCCAGCAGTTATTGAGAAGAAGCTGCCACATATGTTGTGTTTAGGGGAATATAAGTTATGGAAACAAAAACAGACCAGACATTTCTCTGCCTTACCCAAGTCTTATTTTCTTTCCATCCTGTAGGACTATTCATTTGTATACAAGCCGGAGCTGTGCCAGCCATTCGTAGGCTGCTCCATGTTTGCCCCACTGAAGGCGCTACCCAGCCAGTGTCTCCCGCCGGTCAAAATACCAGAGGATTGCATTTACCGACCAAGCTGGACCATGGGCAGGGAGATGCTCAACCCCGTGCCGGTCATGACCTTCCTCAACAAGGACTGGTATGCTGCCCGCACCGCTGTTACCTGACGTTTGAAATGACAGGCTGTTCAGCATCTTGTTATCATGTTATCATGCAACGGAGATCTTTCATCAGGGTCTTGTCCTGTTATGTATATGTGAAATATCTGAAATTCTCTGCAGTGGTCCAGATAATATTTACTTCTAAAATATATTAAAGTAGCACATCCTGTGTCCTGGTTGGGCTATGTTTCAGATTGAGCAAATGATTATAAATACAGAGATGCCAAATATCTCGTAAAATAATTTCATTCGACTTGCAAAATAGTATTTACTCAACGATACTGAAATCACCATATTTTTGAAGAACCCGTTTTTCAAGAGTTTTGTTGAGAGCTGGAGGCGGCAGATTGAGGACACCCGCCCCTTCATTCTCTATCTCGGAAAACCCCCAGGCTTAATAAGAGTATCAACACCACTGTACCGTGCAACAAGTGAAATATTCCACTTAAATTGCAGCTTCACAGAAGCACATCAAGCGACTCCAGTGAAAATGATGCTGATACTCGTTTACTGGCCTTGTTTCTGTGTGATTTCTCTTTTCAAAGATTCCTCATCCTTTTATCCCGATGATCTGGGTACTGAGGCATCCTAATTTAGTCTTTAGTCTTAGGCAGGAGAAAAGCCAAGGCAGTGCTGTGCTTGCTGGTGCTGGATTTCGTTTTGTGTGCACAGAAGCATACACTCCTACTCTGCTGCCTTTCTGTCCACACACCCTCTGGTCGATCCCCGGACAACCCCTCAGCAGGCTGCTCAATTTCCCACGCATGGCTGCTTATGGCTGCCTCAGGCGGAAATGAGTGTAAAATGACGTCTTGGTTGAAGATGAGGATTATCAGTGGAGTGGTGGGGCTCCATGCTACCTCACTGCTTATGGCAGCTTGAAGTTGTTCTAACATTTATATTCAAAGATTATTTATGATCATTATGCAATGCGTGGACAATGTGACCTTAAAATAAAAGATTCAACGTCAAGAAAACACTGTCTTATCAACTTGGACTATTATTCAGCAACGAGTATAATTGACATTAAACAGGGTCTGCCTCCTCTTGTAAATTGACTGTATTTGTATCCGTGCTCCCCACTCACCCACAGTCGCACTTGTCCTCCTGGAGACTCGCTCAGCAGTCCTTGTCCTGCTCATCAAGTGTAGCATGCACATTTCCCCGCTGTGGGACTGACAAGGATTATCTTCTTTGATTTTAATCTGGAACTCAAGGATGAGCCATTTCTCTGTAAAGACGTGTGCACATCAGTCACCGACCTCCAGTTGCTGGTGAGCGTGATTGTTCCTGTAACCGGACATTTGCCAGGCAAGGGCTGGGTATTGAAGTAGCTTTCACCGTGGCTCTCCTTCCTCTCGCTGGCGCTTTCAGTCGGGTTTCCTCTGGATGAGGGATCAGCCGACGGCAGTGGATTGTCTCGTGGTTCTTTTTCCACTCACTAGTCCGATCTCTACGTCTCTACGCTTACTTCTCCATTGTTGGCAGGGGACTTCTGTCATAGTCCTTCACTAGTGACAACCAGTAGACCAAAGATGCCACATCAGTCGTTGTGCAGCTGTTACCGTATTATACGTGTGTATTTAATTTAACCGACCCGTCTCAAACGCTCACCAGTGATCTTTATCTAATCTTGCTATCATTACTGCTTTTAAAAATGTCATCTTTGCTCTGTGTGTTTGGCTGAATTGGGACTACAAGCCATTGGAATATGGGCAATTGTTTTGACTGGTGAGAATAGCCAGACGTGCTCCTTGTGCAGGCGGGAAAAAGGTCTCTGCACTTGACTGAGCTTGACAAAAAGGTCGGTAAAGATCTCATAACATTGTGCTGCTTTAATGGCTGCGTCCCGTGTTGGCTGTGGCCTGCCTGCAGAAGAGAGCCTCGTGCTGGGACTTCCTCTAATGGGTCTGAGCCAGGAGTTGTTCCCCACCTACAGCTAGGGACATAATGTGCTCTCTCGCTCTCTCTCTCGTTGTCTCATGTGTTAGTCACGTATGCGGTCTCAGCTCACTCTGCATTGATTTTCTGGTGAAAGTTGTCGTGCCCGACTGCCCTATTACTCAAACCCTCCTCACAAATGCTGTGGGACAGTTGGATGTTGGGAAACAAGTTCCATGCCACAATCAAATGTACCAGAGGTTAAATCAGCAGTACTGATTTACTCTCTTTTTTGTGTGTTGATATTTGAAGCTGTAATGAGAACAGTTATACTTGTTCATTATCAAACAGGAGTTTGTTCGCACATTGTCCACATGGCTTTGTTGGCTATCCCTATTCAAACCTTTAAATGTCCCACTGTCAGATATACTCTAGTGGCTTTTGGTTTCTAATTGATGTCCTTTCGTCTATCTGCCCTCAGTAACATCCCCAGTGTGGGCAGCACCATGGACCAGGACTACAACCAGACCTACACCCCTCAGACCCACACGCCTTTCATATCCAACAGTGCTCCTCCAAGTAACAGTGGCGCTGGCATCCTGCCTTCACCTGCAACCCCACGTTTCTCTGCCCCCACCCCACGCACGCCACGCACCCCACGCACGCCCCGGGGCCCCTCCAGCGTCCAGGGCTCGCTCAAATATGAGAACTCCGACCTGTACTCGCCAGCGTCCACCCCCTCCACGTGCCGACCGCTGAACTCGGTAGAGCCGGCCACCGTGCCCTCCATCCCCGAGGCCCATAGCCTCTACGTCACCCTCATCCTCTCCGAGTCGGTCATGAACCTCTTCAAGGACTGCAACTTCGACAGCTGCTGCATCTGCGTGTGCAACATGAACATAAAAGGAGCCGATGTGGGCGTGTACTTGAGTGACCCCGTCGGCGAGGCTCAGGACCCCTGCAGCTGCGGCTTCAGCGCCATGGTCAATCGGCGTTACGGCAACGGCTCGGGCCTCTTCCTGGAGGATGAGCTGGATATCATCGGCCGCGGCTCTGACGTCAGCAGAGAGGCAGAGAAGCGCTTTGAGGCCCTGCGGCTCTCCTCGCTGGAAAGAACTGGAGTAGGGAGGGGTGACCGTGTCCCAGATGAGGTTATTCTCCTCCTACAGGACCAGTGCACCAACCCCTTTTCACCCATTTCAATCTTGGAGCATGACATAGTGTCACGGGGGCCAAGTGGGGCCCCTGTGCCGCCCTGTGTGAGGGTGGAGGAGAGGGACTACCACAGCGACTGTTACATGGCCCTGGAGCACGGCAGGCAGTTCATGGACAACATGTCGGGCGGCAAGGTGGACGAGTCGCTGGTCAAGAGCACCTGCCTGCACCACTGGGGCAAGCAAAACGGTGAGAGAGTTTTCATGCATCGCAAAAATGACTGAGTTGCACTCCAGATAATGTGGAAAGATACCATCTGCTACTAAGAATGAAAATAATAATGATAAAAACAATTAAGAAACTACATGTATTCTTGATACAGCCTGATATTCAACTAAATCAATCTTTGTTGTATATGCTCTGATTTGTAATGCTTGTAAACATTGATATATAATAATGAAGTATTTTTACTTGATGATCAGTTGAGAAACACGGAGGCTTTAGTAGTCTTGTGAATGATGTTGTCATTATTCATGAGCTTTCTCCTTTACTTCTCGGCTGTCCAGCGGTGGACGTGACTGCGCTGTGCTCTCAGGATGTACTGCGGGTGCTGATGTCCCTCCAGCCCATACTCCAGGATGCAATCCAGAAGAAGAGGACAGTAAGGTCGTGGGGCGTTCAGGGTCCCCTAACCTGGCAGCAGTTCCACAAGATGGCTGGACGGGGCTCTTACGGTAAAGCTGGGGACCAACTGGGAAGCTTTTTCCACCAATGCACGGTTCTGACTAATGCTTTGCCAACATCCAGTTTATCTGCATTAAAGTCAGTGGATTGTTTTCCACCAGATATGCAATTGAACTATCAGACTATACTTGCCATGAATAATATTTCTAAAGAAAGTATGGGAGTTGATAAGAGCAGTTGGTGTTTTTCTGTGTAACATTTGGAATGCGTGTGTGTTGGGTAGAACATTTTTAGATTTTTTAGATTTAGGTCAATAATCACTCTGGTCGCTCCGCTTCGGTGCTGAAGTCAGCTTTGTTAGCATTCTAAAGCATAGTGGATAGGGAAAAGTGGAGGGAGAGTGGCTGAAACCTCGCCTGTGAACAGCACTTGCTCAGTTTTTTTCTGTTTCTCTCTACCTCCTTCCGCCCTTTTTGTTTATCCCTGTCTTTGGCGTCCACCTTTCATCTCACCCCCACAGGCACAGACGAGTCCCCAGAGCCGCTGCCCATCCCTACCTTCCTGGTGGGTTATGAGTATGACTTTGTGGTGCTGTCGCCGTTTGGTCTTCCCTACTGGGAGAAGCTGTTGCTGGATCCCTTCGGCTCCCAGCGGGACATCGGGTACCTGGTTGTTTGTCCTGACAACGAGGCCTTGCTCAGCGGCGCAAAGGGCTTCTTCCGAGACCTCACCGCCGTTTACGAGGTACGGACTTTGAGGAAGGTGGCGAACGCTATCCAAATGTTGTGTTGCTGTACCTCTCCCCGTAGCAGGTTTGCCAGTTAATTATTAATTGGTCAGATCATTCGTGATCAGATCACTGTCTTGTGAAAACATGGCAAATAGCCTAATCAATGAAAATGCACTGCGGATACTTTGCTTAGTAACTAACTATTGTCTTATAAGATTAGATTCATGCACCAGTTCACACACTTTTTTTCCACTTGTGTTTTTCTGCAGTCATGTCGACTGGGCCAGCACCGACCCATTTCCAAAGGCTACCCCGACGGCATTGTCCTCGTCGGCGGCAATGGGGCCAACAACCTGGTGGATCAGCCAGTCAGCGACTGGTTCCTCAAGGCTGCTAGTAGCAACAGCGAGGCCTTCACTAAGCTCAAACTCTATGCACAAGTGTGCCGACACAACCTCGGTACGTATAATTTGTAGCCTGTAGTGTTGCTGTTATCTCTTTTTTTTATCCAAAATGGTTCTTTGTGCTGAATTTCCACCTTTGACGCCACTTGGTTTATTCAAAAAAATAAAAAGGCTAGCTGGAGTGGTGTGTGTGTCTGAAAGAGAGCTTGAAGTGAGTGGCAGAAGGATAAGTGGAAATGCAGTATGGAGTAAAGGCAGTATGTTTTAATTCTTTCAATTGGTGATTGATGTTATTAATGGAAGTCCAATGCTGTGCTTTCTCCCTTTAGCCCCATACCTCGCATCACAGCCTTTGGACAGCTCCCTCCTCACACAGCCCAGTCTCCCACCATCGTCCAGCCAGTCACCATCCACACAACTGTCTAGCTCCACCTCCAGCTCTGTCGGCCAGCAAGGCTCGGTGAACGCTGCAGGCTCCTCTGTTCACAACAGCAACAACAACACCACCAGCAGCAACAACACTGGGTCCGGGAATGGAACCGCGTCATCAAACAGTCTGGTGACATCCTTGGGCCAGCCTTGCAGCGGGACACCGTCTGCCAAACCCAGCTCTTTTCCCCCCTTTGGGAGCACCCAGAGCCAAGGAGGTGGCCCACAGAGTGGACAGCTTGGGCAGCAGGCTGGCACCCTGAATACTGGCACCTCAGGGGAGAACTCCAGCAGCCAGTCCCAGGGGCCCACTGAGCCTCCGGAAAGGTACTGCAGAACAGACAGGCCTGCACACCTTACAATTCTAAAAAGAAAATGAGAATGTATTTGTGAGGATTTATGAGGGTGGGGAACTGGGGTGTTGGTGAGGTACTTTTAATAATACAGTGTGTGATCTTCCTGTGCTTTCCTCAGTACTTTGGAACGAGATAAGATAGGCATGCCCACGGATGGGGAGTCCCACGCCATCACGTATCCTCCCGCCATAGTTGTTTACATTGTGGACCCCTTCAGCTACGACGAGGCCGACGGGGGCCCAGGGCCAGTGCCGGCCCACTCCAGTGTGTGGACGCTGGGGTTGCTACGCTGCTACCTTGAGATGCTTCAATTCCTGCCCCCACACATCCGCAATTCTATTTCTGTACAGGTAAGCAAGGAGAGCCAGGAGAGCCACACTTACATTGCTGATAATATTTCAAAAAATGCATTGCACAAATAGAAGTGTTGTGTGAGCAAGTGTCTCTTGTCCAACAACTTGTCTTTTTCCTCCTCAGATTGTCCCGTGCCAGTACCTGCTTCAGCCGGTACGAGGGGAAGACCGTCATATCTACGCCCAGCACCTCAAGTCTCTCGCCTTCTCTGTCTTCGCTCAGTGCAGACGGCCGCTGCCCACCTCCACCAACGTCAAGTCACTGACGGGCTTCGGCCCCGGCCTGGCCATCGACACGGCACTGAAGAGCCCGGAGGTAAATGCGACACGTAGTCACATTTTGGCAGTGGCACTCTTAATTGTTTTGAAATAAGGCATCCGTAAAGCAGGCAGAAGGGTAGTGCTGGTGTGCTGTTGCTGATCAGTAGCATGCTGGCGTTGTACTCTGGCGAGTAAACTGAGGATGACACCGTGGCCCGAGCAGTTTTTCAGTTACTTTCAGATTGTGTGCCAATAATAAACCTGACCTCATATGACCCAGCCTTTTGCCCCGGCTGTGTTCAGCTTACTGCTGAAAAGAGAGAAGGCAATGAGATACTGTTTTGAGTGCTAACCACCCTGATAGTTTTTTTCCTCTGGAACAGGACTAAAGGAACTTGTAAGCCCTCTGCTACGACCGTTTTTCTTTCCATTATCTGCTTGGCTAGCTCCATGAGACTTCCATAATGGGATCTTCACTCCAGGTTTAGACAAAGAGCCACTTTAGATCAGGACCTTATTCAGTGGACTTCCTTCCTTCCAGCCAGCACTACCCTTTCCCTTTGACACACTGGCAAACCTTGAGCTTTCTGGCTGGGAGGACTGGGATATTGATGGCTCAATTTCAGTCAAAGGACATTTTTACTTGTAAAGATACCAGGAAAGTCAATTGTTTTGGTCAGCTTGGCTGTAACAAGCAGATAGGATAGGATTGAAAGAGAGGATGTCCTGTTCCTGGGACAGTCCTGCAGCCTGTCATGCATGTAAAAAAAGTAAAGCATCCGGAGCATGTCCACTTTTACCTGCATTTGTTTAGTACGACGTGATCCTTTATCTTGACATCTTCCCTCCCAATCCGCAGCGGCCGGAATGTCTGCGTCTGTATACACCCCCGTTCATTCTCGCACCAGTAAAGGACAAGCAGACGGAGCTCGGGGAGACATTTGGGGAGGCGTCGCAGAAATACAACGTGCTGTTTGTTGGATACTGTTTGTCTCACGACCAACGCTGGATCCTGGCTACATGCACTGACCTGTATGGGGAACTCCTGGAGACTTGCATCATCAACATCGATGTTCCCAACAGGTAAAACTATCACCATCCACCTGTCATATTTAAACCTTCCAGTCTAAGCCCCCAATTATGTATAAACTGATAGACCTATGTGATACATTTAGTTTGATTGTGTACTTGCATTACCCTAAAGGTTTACAGCTATTTTTAACCCAATCTCATGTAACAAAGTGTCAGCTGACAGAAAACAAGTGTTTTTGTTTTTAGTGCAGTTGATCGGTGGAAATAGGTTTACTAATCCGGTTGTTCTTTGTCCTCGTAGCCTGTAGCACTCACACCAGTGCTTTTTGAAAGCGACTTGCCACCATCCTCCACATTTATTCCACAACAGATGTGTGTGACCTTACAAAAGGTGCATGGTAGCTGTCACCAACACTTAGATTGTCTTCTTGTCATCAAAACTCAGATTTCTTTTTTTTGCATCACTTCATGCCAGCTGTCAAACAGGTTAAACTCATGTGTAAATTGATCTTGAGAGGCTAAGCACACGTGTCAGTCAGGGATGTTCTCCCTCACCTGTCTCAAGAGCTTGTGCTCACAAAATGTTAAACCAGTTCTTGTGACTATCAGCTAAAACATTGTTTGTCCACTTGACTCCCTGCCTTGGCTGTCTATTAATGTCTGTTCTACATACTTTGAAAAGTGCTTTTGACATGTGATGCATGTCCTGCAGGGCGCGCAGGAAAAAGGGCTCTGTTCGGCGGCTTGGCCTGCAGAAGCTGTGGGATTGGTGCTTGGGGCTGGTACAGATGACGTCAGTGCCCTGGAGGGTGGTGATTGGCCGACTGGGCAGAATAGGACACGGAGAGTTAAAAGGTAAGGAGGAGTTAAGTGTTGCTAAAGTAATGTTTCATGACATAGAACAACAACAACATTCAGGGGAGTCACATGTTCATGCCCCCTGGTGCTCTCCTCCCTTGATGTTGCAGACTGGAGTATTCTGCTGAGCAGGAGGAACCTCCAGTCACTGAGTCGCCGGCTGAAGGAAATGTGTCGAATGTGTGGCATCTCCGCCTCAGATACTCCCAGCATCCTTAGCGTTTGCTTGGTTGCCATGGAGCCCCAGGGATCATTTATCATCATGCCAGGTGCAGTGTGTGTGTGTGTGTGCACAAATTACAAAGATTATCAGAATACTTACTATCTGTATTAACATGCACTTCTCATTTGAGTTGCATTACTCCACCAAGAGAGGTGTCTTCATGTATGTGTGTATGTGTGCGTTGGTGTTTGGGTGTGAGTGTGGGGCATGATGGATGGCAGCAGCATATCACAACGCTCCTTGTCCAGAGCAGATTGATAGCAGGGGCGATCATGTACCTCTTGCTCATAAAGCACAACCTCTCAGCTGCCCTTTGATGGAGAGCCAGATCAATGGATTTATTTTGGGAAACAAGTAGGGGATTGTCAGTTCATCATACCAGGATTGTGTTGAGCGATGCTTGGCTGAGGACATCTCCTTTCTGAAAAGCTTTTCTGAAAAAGATCAGCAAGCCCGTATTACCCTCAAATGACTACGACAAGTCAATCATTGTAACGCACAACATAAACGTAACATTTATTGGCTTTAGATATAACGCCTGGTTCCGTTATGATTAAGATTTGTGAATTTCAAGAATATGACTTTAAAATTGTGTGTTGTCATTGAAAATTACATTATTTTGAACAAATTTGCAAAATTGTTATTTGGTGCTTGGTTGAAGATTGCATTTGTATTTCGAAGGAGTTGTACATCTAAATCTAAATGCTCCCAATCTTTGGGTCATGCAACTTTTAACATACTCATTAGTGTGTTTTAAAGAAATTGAATCAGTTCAAACCAGTAAATGGGCAGAATGTAAATATTCCCCACACTTTTGAATGCTTCATCTAATTCTGTTTGCCCAATACTTGTTTAAGTATTAAGTATAAACTTGTTTAATGCACATTGCATGCCGTAGTATCACTTATCTAAGGGAACTAAATAAATCCCAAGGGCTCACAAACCTAGTCGTTGTGGTTATTACAACAGATTCTATATACATGGGTAAATGGTAATATTTTATTAATTCCTCTGGTAGCAGATATTATATTGATATTACTTTCAGTTCTATGACGCTCAGCACTGACCAGTTTAAGGATCTGACCCGTCGTAGGTTAAAGACTTTTCGACAAGAGTTCTTATTTTGTTACGGCCTTCTTGGCCGCACTGTTTATTAACCTGCCGCTCTCTCCTTCCTCCTCTTCCATTAGACTCTGTGTCGACAGGCTCTGTGTTTGGCCGCAGCACCACCTTGAACATGCAGACGTCCCAGCTGAACACCCCACAGGACACCTCCTGCACCCACATCTTGGTCTTCCCCACGTCCGCCTTTGTCCAAGTGGCTAGCTCCAATTACACCAACATCGACCCAAACATCGACATTCTAAATGGCACCAGCGGTCAGTAGGGCTGCTTCCTCATTTTTAACTTTGTGTAGCTCAGTCTCTTTGCAGGACTCGGGAAGCCTCGGATGTTGAAGGGGAATGTCCTGCGTTTGCCGATATAATCTGTACATTTTCCCGCCAAATCCTTTCCGGTTTACTTTTCTAGTCTATTGTGAATCTGTTTTGAAGTAGTGTATGCCTCAACACTTACTGCATTTTGAGTACTCTTCGAGCGTTTTAAACTTTTCTCTTTAGTGCAAATGTATGTATTGACAGTAATATTAAGCATGGAAACTCACATACCATATTCAGTAAATAGCAGAATGTCCAAATATTTTCTTTAATCTATGCAATGTGTATTGGCACAAATAGATGTTTTTGTCACACAGACAGGAGGAAGGAGGCATTTGGTTAACACGTGGAGTCACGTAGAATGTGTACGTTTGAAAATAATCGCTTCTTGTCCTCAGACGGGATTTTTGACCTGCTGGACCAGGAGAACGAGTTGGTGGACCCAGACATAATCAACATCTCCCCCAACACTTCACCAGTACACTCCCCTGGCTCTCATTACCACCACGGCGGTGATGGCAGTAAGGTGGGTCAACCTGTACATGCACACAGGCCACAGCAAACTCCTTATGCTTGTGTGTTACAATATTGGAAGTAGCCTTGGTGCAGCACCGCATGTCTCCTGTTTCTCTGTATCTTGTAAAATGAGTCAGAATGTTGCAGGATTGGACAGTGTGGCCAAAGACATGCAGTACATATTACACATGGACACAATGCTAACCACGACTTTCACCCTTGTTGCAGGGCCAGAGTACTGACCGTATGGAGTCTCATGAAGAGGTCCCGAACCTCCTGCAGCAGCCCTTAGCACTCGGCTACTTTGTCTCCACGGCGAAAGCCGGCCCACTACCTGACTGGTTCTGGTCAGCCTGTCCGCAGGCACAGAACCAGTGTCCACTCTTCCTCAAGGTAGCCGGCTGCGGCCCTCTCACACCTTTTTTTAGTGGGCTTCTTTTAGTTTATCCGTTTTACACATTTTTTATATAAATTAAACTAACAACAATTTTATGGAGATATTAAGGAAAATACCGGACAATAAAAAAAAACAACTGTGGGGATTTCATTCGTTTTACAGAACCGTTACACGTTTTTTTAATCTGGGAAATATGCTTTCTTGCTGAGTGTTGGATTCAAAGATCAATAACACATGTTTGTTAAATAGCTTCACCTAGGATCTGTTTAGTGAAGCAGCCAGCTTGGCTCAGTCCAATATTAACAAAATGCTTCTGTCAGCATTTCTAAAAGCTTGCTTATTATTTGTATAAAACAGTAGTAGTAGTGAGAGCGAGAACCCAGGAAACCATTTCCCCATTACACCCCAACAGGTGTTGAATACCAGAGGACACAAGAGGTGTTTGATTTGCACGGATTCTTTCCTTCCAGAATGAGCTATATACTCACTGTTGCTATCACAGGAGGACAAGACATGTCATTATTTAAATGACATGTAATCACAGTTAATAACGTTGTTATAATGCCATTGACACACCTCGTTTCTCTTCGCTCCCTCTCTCAGGCCTCTTTGCACCTCCATGTGTCTTCAGTGCAATCAGATGAACTACTGCACAGCAAACACTCCCATCCCCTCGACTCCAATCAGACCTCAGATGTACTCAGGTAAACCACACTGGAACACACGAATTACTACTAACAACCCGCTGACTGGTTTTTCAAAAGGGGTTTTGTGTTTTAATATTTGATTCAGACGGAAGTTGTTGTTATTTTATACTAATCGGCAATATTCATGAACATTGAAATGGCCTTGATGTATTATTATGTATTGCTTCACCAATCATCAAAAACTGTAGGTGTATTTTATTAATTCATCTTTTCAAACCCAGTGTGTCACGCTATAAATAACTCTGCATTTCTAATGTATATCTGCACAGATATGTGCTGGAGCAGTACAACGCCCTCTCCTGGCTGACGTGTGACCCGGCTACACAGGACCGACGATCATGTCTACCCATTCACTTTGTGGTGCTCAACCAGATGTACAACTTCATCATGAACATGTTGTAGCTAACAGCCTGTTACTGGTGGGGATGAAGCATTTCAAAGAGGAGGAAAGCAAAGACTCCAGAGGGGGGTTTCATCAAGACTGAAGAAAAACGGCAAGAACCGTACGGGCGTACGGAGCTTGGCCATGCACCAAGACGGGATCAGACGGCCGGTACTGGTTGAGACAGTCCAGTCCGTGTGAATCAAAGACATGCACTTAGAGACAAGGGAATAAAGATGCAAATGAATGAACGTGAGAGAATGACAGATTGGTTGTCATGGTATGTAGCATGGCAGCACATTCAATGGCCAGTGTGTATTGGAGAGACAAGTTTATTTGTAAAGTTATTGAAAGAAAAGGGACATATTTGATCGTGGAAAAAATGGATCTTTGGTTTTAAGACCCCAAATTCCTTTTTATTCCTTTGGATGAAATAGTATCCAACTAAAATGCCTGCATCTATCTTATTTATTGTAAGTTTTTAAATGTATAATTTGTCTTATTTCTTAACCTCTTTTATATATAAAAAATGGAGAAGGTTTATATCACCTTCCTGCTTTAAAGCAATTTGTCTAAGATATATATAATCGTCTTAATTAAAAAAAACAACCAGGAAAAAAAATCCCATAAAAATTATAAAGTACCCGTAGGTTGCTTTTAGAGTATTATTTTTTGTAATGGAGACAGAATATTTGTATTGTCACAATGTACAGAAGAATGAGAGTGGAGAATTATGTTCCATGCCTTTGAGCTTGGACAACTTACAGCAAAGCTGTAGCTACAGAGGATTTGTACAGCAATGAACTTCACTGTGTTCAAATAAAGAGGTACATTGTTGTATATAGTATTTTATACCACACATTTAGACACAAAAACCAAACGGCAATATATATTATAAATATTATATATGGATGCCATGCCAGCAGTTGGTGGTGTGGCTTCTGTTTTAGGAATAAAGTGCGTCAACTTATTTCCCTGTGCTTGTGTTTATTGCTTTGGGGGGGGCGATGAGTAATTGGACAAGGACACCGATCGTGGAATGAAAGAAATTTTGGCATTGGTTGGAGGTAGCGAACCTTAGGTCTAACATTTTTAGAGAGAATATGAGAGAACGGGATAACATGCAGTGTCCTTTTCAGCGCATTCCTTCACCATTCTGATCGGCTGAAGTTTTGATCCTTTCGCACCACTTCTTATTGGTTATTGATACATTCAGACAGTCCCATTTAACTTCAGTGTAGAAATAAATGTGTGGTGTTATTAACCTTTAACCAGCTATGGGTGGCTTCCCATTGTATATCCCTTGTTTGCATTGAAGAGCATTTACTGTCTTCTCTACTGCAGAGGTTAAGCTGTGATTTGATTAGTGAAAAATCTATTTACCTTCATCATTTTTGGCTTGAGTTATTTGACCATCAAAACGTATGTGGTTTTTTGAGTGTAGAAAATACATTCAATATTAAATAAAACCCTACAAATTTGAGTCCGGTGCCATGTTTTCTTTGATGATGAGAAATCATGGTCAAGTTTGCAGTAATCCTTTCCTACTATGTAGTTGGTCTGCAAGCGTGTTAGCACTCTCACTTTTGTATTCATAAGCAGGAAAGGCAGCAGAATATACTTGCATATTAAACAGAGTTGGATATCCTACGTGTAAATTGCTGAATAGCCCTGAGGTTGTGTTGTAGCAGCTGGCAATTCTTTTTTGAGAATTTGCTGCAATTTGCTGTGCTCAGAGTGTCCTTTAGATACACAGCGGTCCTGCTCTGCTTTTCTGTCATCCCTCAGCAGCTGCTGTCAATGTGCCTTTGGCTATTTAGTGAAATTTACCCCAATATCTCAGTGACCGGGAGGGTAAAACTAATGTAATAGAGAAATGTAATTAGTCACAGAGAGGTAATTGTCTGGACTCGTATATCACTGTAAAACAAATTTCTGCCACATCATATTAAAATATATGATTAAGATAAGGTCGTTTAATACAACCCATTCTCAGTTACCGTCGAATGATGTCATATTAATATCTGCACGTCAGCCAGGTGTAGATATCAAACCTGTCAGCCACTTGCAGCGCAAACACACAAGACGCGTAACGTTATTTCCATTGTCATTAATTAATCTTCAATTGTCACCACTACGAGGTCAGTTCGTATTATTCAAAGACCACTTTTTGTTCTCATGAAATAAGTTTTCTCTATCTGTCGTTTGACGTGTTCATATTGTCCAGCCCACGGGGATCGCAGTCGGGCAGCACCGGGTCGTTGCAGCATTACTGCCTCCAGTCAGCGCTGTCATTCAGCGCCCAGAAGACCGGTTCCCTCACTGTCACACTGACGCAGTAATCATTGTAGCTACAGACGAGATCAAGCGGATATGCGGAAACCATAATAGACGGGGCATTGCAAATACAAAGACAATCCCCATAACACCCACCGGAGCAGCTAGGACGAGCTTCTCTTATCAGTCACCGGCGTTGGATCCCCCACATCATTAGAGGCTAACGGTACACAACAGAGCCCGAGGACCGAAGGCCTCGATGGTGAAACTTAGTTTTTTAAAGTCTAAGTATAATCCTGAGAACTGAGGTAAGCTGATCGCTGAGGTATTATCGTATGTACGTTTAATGTTTACAGCGCAGAGAAGCACCAGCCAGCACACGCGAGTATTATTGAAGTTAGCCTAGCCTAGCTGTTAGCTGGCTAGTAGCATGCGCTGCTCAGAAAGCAGTTGAGTGTTAGCTGCTGCCAGTTTGCTATTAGCTTAATCGTCGAAGTTCGCTGTTGCTTGCATTAAAAATACACATTGAACGCGTGGAAGTTCCACTAATGAATCGACATAATGCTTTGTCAAATTGTACGCAAGTTACTGTGTTCGCGGTATATGAAGTTAACATTGACACTAACGTTAGTTAGCCGCGACAGTCCGCTTTCCCTATGTTCAACGTTATAATGATATTACCAACTTTTAAATGTAGTAGCAACTGACTAACCTCTAGGAACATTAACTAACTATATATTACGTAAGATTCGGGTATTTACTAATGTTAGTAAAGAGATGAAAACATCTCATCCATACAAAGAACTAAACTCAGCTTCTTCTGTCAGATGAACTCTTGTTGTGTAGAGTTTATGTAACGTTGGTGTTTGCTAAACAACAGTGCTTGTAACTGGAGATGCTTACACTTCAAGACAATCAACTTCATTTGCATCACATGGCATCAGATGCCGCACTTTAAATTGACCGCTTCGCCTGTTCCTTCAAAGTTAAGCGTCATCGACATGGCAGAAAGTGCGGGGCTGCAGTTTGTCAGCTGCTTCGCTTTTGAGGCCATGCAGAAGGTGGATGTGGGGCGGCTCGCTGCCCTGAGTGACCCGGAGCTGCGGCTGCTGCTGCCCTGCCTGGTGAGGATGGCTCTGTGTGCCCCAGCTGATCAGAGCCAGTCATGGGCACAAGACAAGAAGCTCATCCTCCGCCTGCTCTCCGGGGTGGAAGCTGTCAACTCCATTGTGGCGCTGTTGTCTGTGGACTTCCATGCCTTGGAGCAGGACGCACGGAAGGAGCAGCAGCTCAGGTATGTCTGACGCACACCTGCTTATATGAGTCTTACTACAGTCTGCTGCTGCTGCTGCTGCTGCTGATGATGATGATGAACGATTCAGTGCCTCTGTTGTTCATCACACTCATGCACCTTTGTCCATAAGACAAAGTCAGTACGGCTCTACAATTATACTCAATCTGTTGTCTTTTCCCGCCAGGCACAAGGCAGGTGGCTCAAATGGAGAAAGCATCCTGGTGTCACAGCTGCAGCACGGCCTGACCCTGGAGTTTGAACACAGTGATCCCCTGAGGAGACTCCGTCTAACCCTAAGTGAACTGCTGGCTATCATGAACAAGGTACTGTAAGAGCTGTCCCAACGTGATTCCGCTGATCAAAAGAAGTGGAAAGCGTGAGCCCTGATGACGTGTTACCCAGACGGCCCATCTGAGGTGTTGCTTTTTGCATAATATAGAGAGATGTGGAAGAGATACTTTCCATGCTTGGATATAGAGAAGAACAGTTGTCTAATTATAATGAAATCAAAGCCACGATGATTTAGTTCAAAGTACTGAATGATTCAAAATACCCTGCTTGTTGTACTCAATGGGTCTTTGATGAAAAGAAGAAGATTGCACGGCTTATTTTCCTTGTTCATCAAAGCTCAAGTTTGCATCTAAAATGATTCCCAAATTTCTGGCAGCTGCTCTCACACTGACTAATTACACGTTTCTTTGTACTGCATTTGCCCTTCAACACTTGCTTCTTCACCTGAAAGGATGAGTTGGAATGACCAATGCAAACCATGTCTCCCATTCTCTTGTTATTTTCCAGGTGGTTGACTCAAATGGAGAGTTTTTCTTAAAGTCTTCTGAACTATTCGAAAGCCCTGTGTACTTGGACGAGGTCGCTGATGTCCTCTGCATTTTACAAGCAGGTACTAATTCTGTGTATTACAAAAAAACCGAAACCCATCTCAGTAATTTTGTCTCCTGCAGTTGACAAATGGATGGCTTTAATCCGTGTTTTCATTTTTCTTAGAGCTGCCTTCCCTGCTCCCCATTGTGGACGTGGCAGAGGCTTTGCTGCATGTACGCAATGGATACTGGTTTCTGTGTCTGTTGGTTGCCAACGTCCCTGATAGCTTCAATGAAGGTACAGTAATCGCTCGCACAACGCTGCACATGCTGTCTGCAGACGATGTAAAGTCGAGTGCCTCTTTAATAGTCCGTACAAGCTTCATATGGTTAGTGAGTGAACTTGCTGGGGCAGAAATCCGTCTTTATTTGACATCACCTAAGAAGATTTCTATGATTGCTTCATTATAGTTATGGACGGATCACTAATGAGTTTCCATCTCTTGCTTTCTTTTCCTGTGTAACTGTTTCAACTCTAATTTTTGGCATGCCAGTGGTCCGGAGGTGTATGTATCTGTTTGATGGAAGGACATTGTTGTATTGCTCTAGCATCTAGTTTGCTGTGTGTACGCGCTTGGAGAGATACGTTATAAGAAAACGCCCTCCGTCCATTGCGTTTCTAATAGCAGTCAACATCCTTTTGGCTCGGCCACAGGAAAACACTGTTTTACTGAATTGATTTGATCTCAGGGTGAGGTGTGAGAAATGTCTCTGTCCAGAAGTATGATGGTTTTACATGTTGAACAAGAGCTGGTTACCAGACTTAACGTAATGATTGTGCAGTATCTCCTTTTACTTTCTGAAAAAACACCCCGTAATGATGTTGTTTTTGGGCACATGGCCTGTGGCTGTGCGTCAAAATGTAAAAGTCCAGGAAACTCAATGTCTTTTTAAGCGGTGCTTCATGCTGCTGGTTTATTTTAATATATATGTCTATCTTTGCAGTTTGCAGAGGTTTAATTAAGAACGGCGAGCGTCAGGATGAGGAGAGTGTGGGTGGTCGACGCAGGACTGAAGCCCTCAGGCAGTTGTGTCAGATGAACCCGTCACAGGCCCTCAACATCAGAGCCATGGTGGTCAGTTACATTATTGATATAATCACAAATTAAACCCGGACTTTATCTGTAACCTCTAGAAGAGTTTCTTCTGCTATTCTGTTTTCTAGCATTATTGAGGAATGCGTAAACTAAAAGTAATAAAAGCTTTAGCATCGCGTCACGCATGATATGTTTCCTTTGACAGTGTTTGTATTCCAAGATGATTGTTTAGAAGTTTTTTTCAATTATAATACAACACAACAAACATTTTAGCCTTCATGGTATTATAACGAGCATTTGTTCCAGTTTAATGACATTTCATCTGCTAGACATGTAATTGATTTATCAACAAATTATAAGCACATTGATTGCGATGGATTCGGTTCAGCTAGAGGAATTCTATTCTCCGGTTATTACACACAAACACTCGGTTTGATCTTTGCCCCTCGCTGATAGAACTTGTGATACACTTCTCCCTCGAGGGATACTATCAAAGTGTGTCTTCTTGCTCCCCCCTCTGCTTCTTAAGGAGGTTACAGCACAAGTCAGTCGGGGAACAAGGCCCCTGGATGTAGTAAAAGTCCATTGCCTTTCTGGAGAACACATCAGCAGGACTCGTACGCTCCCCAACAGCTGTCCTGAGACCGGTTTAAAGAGCAGACGACATGCAGGAACAAGTCACAAAGGACGCTAACAATAGATCTGTTTTAGAGCTACAGGGATTTGTCAATCAACATCAAATTAATCAGCAGCTATATTGATAGTTAATTCATTCATTTATACTTCATATTCAAATATTCATGTCTTTGCATTATTCATCTTTATTCTTTGTAGCATTTTCTTGTTTTAGTAACTGAGTGGGTTGTAGAACAAAACACAAACCACCAATTTTCAGTGTGGAGCGTCCGTTTTTTTCCGAAGGAACATATGTCGTCATAATAATAATTTACTAAGAAACAATTCAGCTGATGTACTGTGTTGTTGTTGGTTCTTTGCATTCCCAGGGAGAGGAGTGTCACCTGCCTGGTCTGGGCGTGGCTCTGACTCTGGACTACAGACCAGATAAAGCGGACGAGGCCGTCAGTCCTCTAGTCTCTTATGTCAGTGGTCTACTACTTGGTACCAATAGCAAAGTTCGCACCTGGTTCAGCATGTTCATTCGCAACGGACAACAGGTGAGGGGAGAGGATTTGTTCTGCCCAAGTTCACACTCAAGTTTGTATAAGTAGACACAGAAGAAGTCTAGTAAGCTAATATAGAGAATATTCCAAGGAAATTGATGTTGTATTAAAGGTGCACGTTACCCGAGTCTGCTAGATGTAGTGGGGTAAATTTTAACTACGTTGTGATTTGACTTTTCAGTTAGGAGTAATGTTCTGTGTATAGAGTAGTGTGAGAAACATCAACATTATGCTTTTAATGTGTACAGTTGTGGTCAAAAGGCTGTCTTGAGTTTCCAATAATTCGTATAACTGTGTAACACGCACTTCTTTGTCACAAAACAGAAGATTTGTGAATTTTGGCTCTTTTATGGGTCTTCTGAAAATGTGTCCAAATCTGATGGGTCAAAAATCTACATTCAGCAACTTGAATTATTCATTTTGGCGATACAGAAAGTTGGGTCTATCCAATCTGCTTTGTGGCATGGCTTCTTAACTTACGAGTATGATTGACTCCAGGTGGTGACCCCTCTGAGCCCATTTAAATAGTGCTTGTTTAATACACTCAATGTGTGCCAAACATATAGGTATCGCTTTCTCTACCTTCATTGGCATAATGTATTATCTGGCCCATTGCAGGACTTTCCTTTTCACCTCCCATTTTTTTTTCTTCGCAATTTTCTTATCTTGAATTAAATAGTGCTATTGTTATGCTCAGGTTTAGATTATCACCAAAGGCATAAATCTGTTTTCTGGGAAAAAAAGAGATACCTTTCACTGAAAATCATTGTTTCTCTTATGTTTTTGTATATTAGACAATAAGACTGTCCCTCAGCTGAGTTGAAAATGGGGAAATGTATTGAAACGTTCTGTTCCAATATTCAGCTTGCATCCAAGTTCGGGGTCGTCTTAGGACCTCACTGATGTCATTCTCTTTCTGCTGGCAGCGAAAGAGGGAAAGCAGTTCGGTTCTGTGGCAGATGCGCAGACAGCTGCTGCTGGAGCTCGTCGCCATCCTGCCGCGCTCACGCAGCACCCACGTGCCCAATGACGGCAACATGGAGGAGGTCAGCTCGGGGTACTCTGGGCTCAGAGAGGAACACGTGGTGAAGGCCAGCGCGCTCCTCCGACTCTACTGCGCCCTCATGGGCATCGCCGTCCTCAGGTAGGTCAAAGAGAAGGCAGCAGCTCCCTGTGATTCTCAATCTGTGATTCTGAAAAGATGTTTTTATTTATTTCATATTCAGTGTTTGTTTTTTAAAGATGATGTAAAAAATGTTTCAAAGATTGCTAAATATGATCCCTCTACAGACCCACAGATGAAGAGGCAGAGCAGCTCTTGCAGCTGATGACCAGCCGACCCCCGGCCACGCCCGCTGGCGTCCGCTTTGTCTCTTTGTCCTTCTGCAAGTTGCTGGCCTTCCCAACACTGGTCAGGTACAGAAAGTGTGACTATTTTTTATTCAGCAAACACAAGAAGGCGTTGGGTTAATAAACAGTGGTCTTGATTTTTGACGATTTTTTAAGTGTGAGATGTATTATTACATTACATTACATGTCATTTAGCTGACGCTTTTATCCAAAGCGACGTACAATAAGTGCATTCAACCATATTATCTCTCCTTCTCTCTTTTCTCTGTGTGTCCAGCACCCCTGAGCAGGAACAGCTGATGGTCATGTGGCTCAGCTGGATGATCAAAGAGGAGGAATACTTTGAGAGGTAAGGAGAATCCCTCCCCAATTTGTCTGAACAAGAAGAATTATTGACATTACTGTGTGTAGAAACTAGGGTTCTTAGTTTGTACATTATTATTCATTTTGTACATGCATCTAACCCGTTAACACCGGCATTGAATGAATTTTCCCTCTCAAATAGCAGTGTCTTCATTATTTAGTAATTGATTGGAAAGTGCCCCTGTTTTTTTCCTGCAGTTTCCCTTTTTAGAAACACAGATATATAAAGTCTCCCAACTAGAGAACCTGTAACTAAATTATAAAACCCACCTGGTAAATGCTGAAAATCTCTAAAACAAAAATGTAAAAACAGTTGTGCTTAGATCATGACTTGATTCCTGATGACTTGTTCATTTTAATGAATAATCAGTGACTTCTATTGTTCGCTGTTGATCTGCTGTGATACGTAGGACTAACAACAAGTCAAAGTTTCTTTTTTCCCCACTTGCATTATGTGTGTCCTCCTCCTTACAGTGCTGCAGGCGTATCCGCTTCTTTTGGAGAGATGCTATTACTGGTTGCCATGTATTTCCATAGCAACCAGCTCAGCTCCATTATTGAGTTGGTGTGCTCTACTTTGGGGATGAAGGTAAGGTGGGAGGAAGGCGGTGATCAATAAATCGTTGTGGCTGACCAGCTTCTGGCCCACTGCAGCAGTGAAGCATAGAAAGACCTCATCACTGATGAAACACACACACGCAGGATACACATTGCTTCCAAATCACCCTCTGCCCCATGGCCAAAATACTGTTTTATTATTTATTAAGTGCACTATTGTTTCCTGCCTGTGTGCTAAATAGTTTTTCCTGTCTCAGTGTATCTTCCACTAAGATGTGTAATGTAATTGGATTTAGAGCCTGTTTATCCCCCGCCCCCCAGGGCAATCCTCTACAGTCGATGGTTCGCCTGCCATGTAGAGTTTTTATCATGAAATGTGAAAGGAGGGTATTACAAAATGCCAGCATTATTGCCAGCAGATTGTTTTCACTCACAGTAAGCCTTCCATTGTTGATGGTGTGTGTGTGTGAGGGGATGTTTATTTTTTTTGTGCCAATATTCAACTTTCTATAGATTGCCATCAAGCCCAGCTCTCTTAGCAAGATGAAGACTATCTTCACACAAGAAATCTTCACAGAACAGGTACATCATTTATCACTCCTAAATCTGTATGTGCATCTTGTCTGGTAATTGCATTGTTCAATTATTTATTTGTAGGTTTGTGTTTGATTTCATCGTAGAAATGAGATTTGAATTTGAATTGTCTGTTTTAAAATGAGAAAAAATAACTAAACTTGATAACTAAAATGATCCTAAGAAAATTGTTTTACAGATTAAAAAAACTTACTGATTTAAGTAAGAAAGTTTGACATATAATCTTGCCGAAACCAAAAATGTTCAATTGCTCTTACTATCACACACAGAAAGTGGAGAATACAGGAAGTTCAGACTTTGGAAATGCATCACCAGAAAAGAAAATATCTTTGGGCTTCGGGCTTTGGTTCTGTTATTCTGAGCTATTCTCAATGATTTTCCCTACTGAGAGCTACTGTTAACTCCGAGATATATATAACTTAAACTTAAATAAACAATCTTCTTCTAAAGGTGCCCGTAAATCACTTTCACGTACTTTATTTACTTAACAACAGTTTTGGGTAACGGTATAGATACCTCATTAATTAAAGGTCTCACTGCGTATAATCATCGTATGGTGCATATGATGCAGTAAGTTATGTTTGGTGACGGCAATTAGAGATGAACATTGTTCATTAATCATACCCCGACAGAAGATCAGAAGAAGGTTGTTATGGACGCGAGAAGAGAGAAATGACATTCAAAGTTGTGCACATCCTCACTGAAGCGTGATCTTGAACCATTGCTTTTTGAATAACTTGTTTCTCTATTTCTGGTGTTCAGGTCGTTACAGCACATGCGGTTAGGGTGGCAGTGACCAACAGCTTAAGTGCCAACATCACAGGATTCCTCCCAATTCACTGTATCTACCAGCTGCTCCGGAGCCGGGCTTTCACCAAGCACAAAGTGTCCATCAAGGTAGGAGGTTTGCACTCTATGTCTCAGTGACCGGTAGATGTCTATTTCTTTTGTTTATTTTAAAAACAAACTTTGCCATCCGGCGCTGACCTTGTGTGCCTCTTCAGGATTGGATCTATCGGCAGCTCTGTGAGACGACCACCCCCATCCACACCCAACTGTTTCCCCTAATCGATGCCTATATCAACTCCATCCTCACTCCAGCATCCAAGGCCAACCCAGAGGCCACCAACCAGCCCATCACTGAGCAAGAGATCCTCAATGTCTTCCAGAGCTCTGCTGGGGTGGGTCTGCCTCAGGGAATCACAGAATCTACTAAACCTAAAGCTGCGCCATGCCTTTAATTGCGTGCATGTTTTTTTTCAGTTGTGGCTTTTCTTCTTACTTATAATGCTATTTTGATGATATCTGATCATCTGTGTCTATTAAAAGGGAGCGTTTTCTAAACCACAATTACTAGTCTGTTACCTCTATTTAGTGGCTCTCTACAGAATGTTGCCTTTGTTGCTCCAAACCTTCCAGGATTTATACTGCGTATGAATAGATTTGACTGTATCCATTATTCATTCACTGATGATGCAGATTCCTGCTCTGCTTCCCATCCTTGACCTGTATTTCTGCTTCTCTTTTTTTATTGGTTAGCAAGGGGAAGGAAGTCGAGGAGGACGTCAACACTACTCCATTACCACCCAACTCCTCATCCTCTACTACATCCTGTCTTATGAGGAGAACCTGTTGGCGAGCACCAAACAACTGGGTATGTAGAAGACAAGAACCCTCCCATTTACCACCTCTGTGCTGTCAACTCACTTCTTTTCCAACATTTCTTATGTTCTCCTCTTCTGCCAGTCAAAAGTGAATCAATTGTCCTCTTTTCCACCAAAGGAGGTGTTGTATGGGAGACAGAGGGGAAACTTGTCTGGCAGTGAGAGGAGAAAGGCAGCGTTTGTCCTCTGTTGAGTTGTAGGAGATGCTGGATGTGCAGTCATTCATCCTTTTTTCTCTTGGCACTGAATGTTGGCTGGTTGATAGAGAATAAATGGAGGGCTGACAAAGAGCCAAGTACAATGGCTGCAGGAACTGCGCTAACTAGGAGGACAACTGTAGGTTAGATTGAGCATTAGCGGTTAGCCTAGTCAGTGTTTATTCTCTCCCATGACCATGACGAGCTCTCCTCTTGCCCTTCATTAGGCCAGATTTATGTGAGAGTTTATGCCCATCTCTCTTTAATTGCTGTGTTTACCCAAGTGCTCCTGCAGCTTTCAAAGAAGGAGTAATGAAACCCATCAGCAGTGGTAATGAACCCACGTCAATGAAAAATCACCTCCGCTCCTCCTAACGCATCGGTGGCTCTGGTGTCCTTACACTTTGAAATAAAACACTTATTCTCCGCCTTCCTTTTTTCTTGCTTTTATGTTATCACTCTCGCTATTTCCTGTCTTAAAGTTTCCTCGCGTCACTAAAGTTTTCCTCTTATTTTTTTAAGCCCTGATGCAGAGGAAGCCAAAGTCCTACTCCGCAGCATTGATGGACCAGATCCCCATCAAGTACTTGGTTACACAGGCCCAGGGACTGCAGCAGGAGCTCGGGGGTGAGACACTTGAATCCGCATTTTATTTTAGAATCATGGTATGTGGTATTAAATACTTGGCAGCCCACCAGTTACAAACAGATATTGCTGCAATAACTCATACTTTACATACCACAGTAAATTCCACCAGACAACTGTCCGGTTTATGTTTATCTACATTACAATTGCAATGTTTTGTGAAAACGTTGCTCTCTGGTTCAATATTTGAAACAAATGAGATGCTTTTTATCTTTTAGGAAAAAAATCAAGAAACAAAAGTTAAAAAGGAAAAGTAAAATATACAAAAATACTGTGTGTAATAGACTGACAAAGAGCTCGTCTTTCTCTTTCCCTGTTCCCAGGTCTGCACTCGTCCCTGCTGAAGCTGCTGGCCACCAACTACCCTCATCTATGTCTGGTGGAGGACTGGGTCTGTGAGGAGGAGGTGACTGGTACCCTGCCGCTGCTGAGGAGGATGATGCTCCCCAGCAACACCTGCAGATACACTCAGAGCCAGCTCCATCAAGGTGAGGAGGAGGAGATTAGGAGATGAAAGAAATGAGGTCAATGCTGGCACTTCTGTTTTATTCAAGTATCTGACAATAATCAGGTTTTCACCTTGTTTTTCATGTTTTTACTGCTAAAAATCTGAAAAATAAAAACTACGAAAAGTCTTTCAAGAATCAGCATAAAGTAAATATTAACAAATACATTCTTGGATTGTAGATTCAAATCAAACACAAACCAAGTTTGTTGAGATTGAAAAAAGGTAAAAGGAAATTCTGAGAGTAAAGACTGTCAAAGAGCAGTGATAGTAACCGAAGAGCGAGGGTTGTGTTGGTGAGGAAGTGGTGTCAGAGCGTAACAGAGACACGTAGCATTGTGTAATGTATTTACAGATCAAAGCCATTATCAAGCTGAGATCTTGTCTCAATGGTTAATCCTTCAAGGTTTAGAGGATTATGCTGTAATTGGCTTTTCTTTGAGCAATTCTTGACATAATGCAAATGTGTGACAGATTACCTGCATAATGCTGTGAAACTGGTTATCTATCAATTTGTAAAACGATTTTGCAAATACATTTTCTTTTCTTATACAACTAAGCACAACTGTGTAATCACACTTTATTCATGAATTATGGTTAATTTCATTCTCGCCACCATTAAGACTGAAAAAACGTATTCTCACTATATTAAGGCACATTTGGTTCAAATTTGAAAACTAATTCAGCTGTCTCTCCACCCAGCTTTCCAGAAGCTGCCATCCAGCAGTCCCAGGCTGATGCGGATCCTGGAACATTTAACGCTGCTTTCTCCTGGAGACCTCATCTCTTATTCGGAGGCCCTCACAGCCAGCATGGCTCTGCTGCTGGAGCCTGCTGTGCCCCGCCGAATACTGCAGACACTCAACAAGCTCTGGATGGGCCTCAACACTGTGATGCCCCGCAGGTACGTGCTGTGGACACGATTCAATGTTGTGACAAAGGATTTCCACGGAATGTGACGGGAATAATGCGTTGTGGTAATTGGAAATTACATTCGGCGAGTGGGTGAGTGGGGAGCACGGCCGTCCTCCAAGAGGGTTGGCGGTTCGATCCCAGGCCCAGCTAACCCGCATGTCGATGTGTCCGTGGGCAAGACACTTAACCCAGCATTGCTCCTGTAGCTGCGACTACAGTGTGTGAATGTTAGTTACTGATGTGCAGGTGTCACTGTGTATGGTTCTCCTGTCATCAGTGTGTGAATGGGGGAATGATGTCATGTAGTGTTAAAGCGCTTTGAGTGGTCGGAAGACTATTGTTTACCTTAAATTTCACATAATTAGGTGTGTGTGTATGTGTGTGTGTATGTATGTATGTATGTATGTATGTATGTATGTGTGTGTGTGTATATATATATATATATATATATATATATATATATATTATATCCACCTAGTTTTTTTTTGCTGTGAGGCGCAAATTGCATTCGCCCTCGCATTAATGTCATCTCTTGAGAATTGGGGCTCAAAATCTCTTTCCTTCACTAATTAGCATTTAAGATATTTTGCCAGACATGATGAGAAAAGCCTACAAATATTCAATCCAAATGAAGTGTTATTTTTGCCTGCTGGTTATATTTATAATTGTATGTATTTTAAGGTAAAAGTTGCTGTCAGACGTCTCAGACCTGTGGAACAACAGTTGTTGCCCTTAACCCCGGGCTTCTTGCTCACCGATTATTGTGTGAATAGATCAGAGGTATCGAGCCAAACAACTCTGTCAGCCTCTCTGGACAGGAATGGGTGACCCTCACTCCGCCCCGGGGCCTTCAGGAGCACAGTTACTAAAGCTCTGAGCAGACATCCTATCGACCTAAAAGTGTTCTTTAAGCAGAAGAGCTCAGGGCAGGAAATCTGAGGGGAGACTCTCTGTGAAGGAGATGTAAGGGATTGTTGCCCCTCTACGCTTCCTTTTCTTACTCCCTCTTGTAGTATTGAATGGTGCACAGGGCTGGCTCTGATTTATCCAGCAGGAAGGGAGCAGTGTCAAATTTCACACCAATCCACTGATTGATGCCAGTGCGCAAGCCGCCGAAAGGCTTGGCCCTCGCTCCAAAAGCCCCCTGCTGCTCAGGGTTTAGCCTGGGTGTGAATTCAGAGACTGAAGGTAAAGGTGCAAAAGGTTAATTTGTGAGTAACTTAATTAAACCCGTACTGAAGTGAGTCTCGTATTTTCTTTGCATCGAAATAGCTTTCTTCCCAAGTACATTAAATCAGTTGTTTATGATTGAGCATCTGAATAAGTACAATATATTGAACCAGCAATTTACTGTTGTCCTTTAAAAATGACAATGTCCGTTTATGAGCTGTCAGTTGTTTTGGTTTTTTTTTTAGACCCAAGAAAAGTTAGACATCTCAATTTGGAATGGAATTCTTTGTTCCTTATCAAGTTCTTTATTCCCAGCGCTGGACAAAAGGAAAAACAAACAAGTGAAAAGTTGAGACTGATGTCTGTGTTGCAGGCTGTGGGTGATGACCGTAAACGCTCTACAACCTTCGGCTAAGCTGCTCGGGCAGCAGCAATACACTCAAAACGACCTGATGGTGGACCCGCTCATTGTGCTGCGCTGTGATCAACGCGTGTACAGGTAACTTCTGGACGTAGTCTATATGCACACATGCACACATGGAGGCATACACAGACTGCTCACACCTTTCTTGTTGTGTTCTGGCAGCACTTACTCGGTTAGTTTTGGGCTGCATGTGTACAATCCGCTCAAATAATGATTGTAGTTGCATGTCAGTATATCTTTAGATTTTTCAATCGTCTACCAGGATAAAAAAACAATTCAAACGGAGTGTCTTTATTGTTTCATTAAAAGAAAACCTTTTAATTATTATTATTATTTCTTGTAGGTGTCCTCCTCTGATGGACATTGTGCTTCACATGCTGAACGGCTACCTGCTGGCCTCCAAAGCCTACCTACACTGCCACCTGAAGGAGACGGCTGACTTTGATCGGCAAAGCCAGACGGTCTCAAACTTGGGGGTACCCGGACAGCCAGAAACACCCGAGGTCACCAGGGAGGAGCTGAAGAACGCTCTTCTATCTGCACAGGTATTTCCAGTAACGACTGAAGCTCAAATGCACTTTCTCTGTCGAACATGCCCAGGCTTTCCTTTTTTTTATGATTTGATGCTGTGGGGTTTTTGGTGAAGCACGGTGCAGAAATAGTATGCCATGAATTTGTATGCAAGAGATGACCTCTCTCATCTAACCGGGGTCACTGGCCGTTCCTTTTTGACCTCAGGACAGCGCAGCAGTCCAGATTCTCCTGGAGGTATGTCTGCCAACGTCCAAAGAGCAGCTGCAGCTGGGGGCCGGCACACAGAGCCTACTAAGTAGCATTAGGGCCCCTTTGCCAGGGAAATCAAAAAAGGGCAGCCTGGGGCCTCGAGCCAGAGGGGGTGTGGAAGACGCCGAGCCAGAGGGAGGACTGCTCAGTGACTTGAGGGAGGTGCAATGTCTCATCTGTTGTCTGCTGCATCAGATGTTCATTGCCGACCCTAACATTGCCAAGTTGGTCCACTTTCAGGTAATACAATGTGAAGGCGATGGAGTAGACCGTACTTTTTATCTTTTTCATTTCACTATGACAGTGGGAGGGCTGGAAGAAAAAAAAAACATAAAAGAGCAAGCTCTTGTAAAAAAGATGTATCCTACAAATTCCCTTTTGTGTTGTTTCTGGTCGTTGAGTGCCATGTTACTGAAAATACCTTTGAGTCATGTTGACCCCATTAGTCATCACATTCTGCCGTGGCATTAGTGGTAAGTGACTGCAGCACTGTCAAAAGTTGCAGACCGCCATATGGTGGGCTTCATCAATCCAATCCCCCTCTGTCATTCTAATCCACCCACCAATCCACACTGCCAAGCAGAATCTGCTGTGTGCATTTGGACACACGAGTTTCACATTAAAAGTACTTGTGGGCTTAAATCACTAGTTGATTGAATTTATTGTGTATTCCTTTTTTCCTCCATCCGTCACTTTTGGATTCATATTTCCTGCTTTCTCGTCTTCTGTGCCTTTCTCTGTCAGGGTTACCCTCAAGCTCTGCTGCCTCTGACTGTGGCAGGCATCCCCTCCATCCATATCTGTCTGGATTTCATCCCAGAGCTGCTGGCGCAGCCCCAGCTGGAGAAGCAGGTGAGCCCTCCCCTCCCTTCCCTTCCGCTCTTTTTCCTGGCTTTAAATCCAGAGCCTTTTATGACACATACATATATATATTTTTATAATAACCCTGTTTACATATTTGTGCCATGAATATGTGGTGAAAAAAAAGTAGGTGTTCTGACCCGATGTGTCCACGCAGATCTTTGCAATCCAGTTGCTGTCGTACTTGTGCACGCAGTACGCCCTACCCAAGTCTCTGAGTGTGGCCAGGTTGGCCATCAGTGTCATGGGCACCCTCCTCACAGGTCAGTGGACTGAACGGTTCCTTATCTTTATGTCCCGTACGTTTACACTTTTGGTTGTGACTACCGGTACTCATGATTACTGATTACTCATCATACTTGTTATTTTCTCTGCTTTATGTCTCTGTCATTGAGGCATAAAGCAGAGGTAGACGAGCTGTACACCCTGTACTCACAATGCAGCCTGTTCACATTATATCAGCTGTTGCGATATATTACGTCTTGAGAATTTGATCCCTATATTTGGCTGCCACCATCTGGCCTTTGGCTGTTAGTGCAGCATTTTCTTCTCCGTCTCATAAGTGCACACTGCACCAGCCTACTTGCCGCTGCATTCGCCGTTTACGAAGTTCTTTTGTGTTCTGTGCATTCTGTTTTTTTTAGTGCTGACTCGTGCCAAGCGTTTCTCATTCTTCATGCCCATCCTGCCGTGCCTGGTGCCCTTCTGCCAGGCCTTCCCGCCGCTCTATGATGACGTTGCAGGTCTGCTTGTGCAAGTGGGCCAGGTTTGTGCCTCCGATGTTGCCACCAAAGCCAGGGACATTGACCCTCTTATTGCACGTAAGTATAGTTAGTGACTTGGGTGGCTTTTCTTCAGCATAAAATGGGTAACGATAAATTTTATTTTGACTACCAGTGTAAAAAACACCGTATGCAGACATTAAGCCTATGAAGACGGCTTCTCCTAACACCGATTCAGTAGTTGCTGTCCTGGAGGCATTATGTTGACACAAATGTTGCCATGTTGGTCAGCCTTTTCTGTACTTAGCTGGGACCTTTAGCGACACATGGGGTTAAACCAAATAAAATTTGGTTTAACCAAATAACATTTATTCAGAAGTTCTATGTTCTTACAAAACCGTGCAAAGAATTAAGTGACATTGTGCGTGTGCCTTGATTTTTATTTATTTTTTTACACTTATTTTGCAACGTCTACCAATGAAAAATATTTGAATACATATGTAACTACTATGAACTTCAAAATAATTTGTCGTGCACATCAGTCTCAACCTCAAATGTAATAAGGGCATATGACAAAGTATAGTACGAAAGATTCTGGACAATGTTTTAGTCTTGCTACAATAATACGTTTGTCATGTTCATGCCTCAGGCCTGCAGTATCTGAAGGAGAAGCCTCAGGGGGCTGCAGCTCCTGGAGGAGACTTCTCGAAGCTGACTTTACCCCAGAGGATAGCAGAGGAGCATGGTGGGGCCGACCCGGATGTCCAGCTCTGCTACTGTGTAGAGGCCACATTTATGGACATCATTAGCTCCACCCTTCATGGACTATAGATGCACATATTCCAGAGGAAGAAGAGGGGACCTTAAACCAACTGAAAGACATTTGTATTCCTGAGACAGATCTTTTCAACACACATCCATTCATCTTCAAGACATGGACCGATGTCCCCTTTGTCGTTGGCTGTCAGACGTTTTATATCTATGTTCAGACTGGACCCATTCTCTATCATTTGTGAAATGGTCGGGAATGGATTTTTCTGTAAATAAATCATCGTTATCAATTTAGAATGTGTGTTCATGTGCTCAGCCAGTTTGTAGAAATTTAAATGGGTCCCTTTTATTGACCTTTTTAAAGGCATATTTTTCTAAGCTGTGACCTTTCCTCAGCAACTGAACAATGGAAAATCATTGGAGGCGCTTTTGTACTGTATTTGTTTGTAATAAAACAAGAGAACGCCTTTCATTGATGAGGCTTGAGATTTGGGGCAAAGCGATTATTTTTTTAGGTCATGAATGCATGTGTCATCTCAATCTTGTCTGGTGTCCAGATGTTTAGTATTTCTTCTCAAACGTGTCTTGGTCTTGTGGGTTTCCCGACACAGACACCCCGTACTTTGACCACTTGTTTTTAGCCTTTATATTCTCAGCTCTTCTAATGATTTTAATTACAATTATATGCAGTGATAACTCGTCTTTTTGTTTAATGTACTTAATGTTAATTAGTACCACCTGTTCTTTGCCTGTTATGTCAAGTCCGGGTTTGTAGAACTCCTCCGATTACAATTAACACAATGTCAGTGCTCTGAATATTCTTTTAATTTATTCCATCATATGCTAAATATAATAACAGTACCAGTACATTGCTGAGTTCTTGTTCTGCTGAGGTTATTGAAGATATCAGGCAAAGTAGATTAGTGTAGTTAGAGAAAGGAACATTGATTTTCCAATATATTTCTTAGCATGTAGTTATAAAAGCAGTTTCAAAAGACTTCTCCCCTTCTAGTGGGTGGCTGTATGTCCTTGATTAGAGAATCTGATATTCTTATTACCAGGTTCTGTTCGTCTAGGTGAATGATAGTCTTTGCTGAATATTCTATCACTATAACAATATCATTTGGAGCAGTAGAATTTGTCCAGAAGTAAAGCCACACAAGAAAATGTAGATTTACATGTACATCCATATTTTGGAGTATTCTCCTCTTGTGATTTCCTAATGCTGCACTTAGTACAATTAGTAGATTTTCCTGAGTGGTTCATTATGTTGTTCAGGCTCGGGCCTCTTTACTGTGGTCAGTTTTTTGCCTTAGTATGAACTATACTTTGTCGGTATTGCCTCCACCCACTGGTTTGGCTCATTGCCGTATTTAGGAGGGATGAATAATCTCTGGATGGAGCTAGAATAGCTGCACATTTTCCACACACAACACAATTATTGCATAAGAGCATACACCAAATTAGACATCCTTGGGTATCTCACTGCACACAGCGTTCTGTAGTACACATATAACATTGCCCTGAATGTATTGTATGCATGTGGTCAATACTATCCTAAAGTGTTTTCAATAACCAGGGATCAATAACTAACAGTCAGTTTCCAATGATATACAGCGTTACTATAACTGACAGTTATACAGCCTCAGGTAACTGCCTTCCTTTCTTTTATAACGGTCATACTTAGTACCCCACAAATGAATCCCTATTATCAAAACAGTGCCCCTGTCGTTGCATCCTAATCGACATATTTAGGTAATTCACCAGAGGGCAGTCTTGCCACACCAAAACTACAGCGCCACCCTGTCAGACTAAACCCAATAACTAAATATACCTTCAAGAGTCACAAGGGAAGAACCTGAGCACACTATGGTCAAAATATAAAACAACCACTGTTATAGAAGTTGTAGTTCAAGATGTCCTATGAGTGACAGTGATGATAAAGAGTAAGATGTAACATTTTATTTTTCACATTCACATTCATGGTAGTTCCCCGCCTGCATGCACAGTGATTCACACAGACTGATCTTGCACATAAAAAGATATTACCAAGGAATGCCATAAATAATTACACCGGAAAAATTACATTTTAATATTCTACAGAGGTAATATTATAGGCCATGCAATTGGTAGATAGTATGTATTATGTTTGGTATAATTTGGATATATATAAACGTGTGATTGACCACAAACCTGAGTTCCTCCTCTCTGTCTCTTTCTCTGTTGTGGAGGCATTTATGAAGCACTCTGCGCTAGTTTGTTGTGGTGCTTCAGTTTCCCAAAGCTGTAAGAGATGCCTGAAGCAAATCAGGATGAGATCACAGAGCAGTTTTGTTTTCACCGCTGAGCCGTCTTCCGAAGCCCTGCACCCTGAAGACAACCCTTTGCAAACTGCACGAAAGAGAGATGAATTTATTCTCTGCTCAGTATGAAGGCAGAACGAGGGAGAAACATGCTGAGCTTGCTGTGTGATGGCGACAAGCGTTCGCTACTTAGGACAGACCTGCTGATGACATTCATTGTGTAATTAGACATGAGCTCTGCAGTCCATTAGCGTAGTTGATTTCATGCCAACATATCAAACAGACTGAGCTAACTGAGTTGTGGATGTGGGGCAGAACGGAGAGCTGCTCCAATAATCCATAGAATGCAAACAACACATCTATCTATAGACATAGACACATCCTGCAAGTTTTACACAAAAGCGTGGCATCCAGTCGGACACATGACACACTAATTAGGAACTAGCTGTGAGTTCTGGTTGATTCAGTATGTGTGGAAATCAGTTTTTAAACAAGAAGTGAATAGATTCCTAGACAGCAAGGGGGCCTTTTATTCCACTAGTTGTAGTGAAATAAATATCACATTTCAGATTACTGGGAACGGCTATTTTCTTATACAACATCACACAGTCTGATTAGAGTTCCAATCACAGATACACCTCTGAGGTGGAAGTGAAGACGACAAAGGCATTGTCCTGTTTGTGTGTGTGTGTTTAAATGTGTTTAAATATTCTAGCGGGATACAAAATATGTCTGTTGTGTTCCACAAGGATCACTTAATATCTGTTGTTCATTTTAAAAACTGAATTGTGTTTTTTGGTAAACACACAGGCCACCAGACGTCTTATCCAGAATTCTCTAAAGACTCGTGGTGATGATTAGGATTCAGCCTGTGAGCGGGTGCACTGTGCACAGAGTCTTTGGACTTAAAGCTGAATTTCTTACTTTAGGCGTAATCTTTTGCTCTTCCCAGCTTTGTACTCAAGCCAAGAAGGTGTAAACACTAACCCTATTGAAGGAACTGCCTCTGCCTCTTTAGAGGTTTCTCCATGGGCACCAGAGCAAAGCACTTAAATTGTGTTCTCGATGCATTTGGCTAGACATACACTACCTCCAGCTTTTTTAATTTGAATCACGCTCCAGGTCTATTTTCCTCTGTTTACTTGCCAGTATTAAAACACTCTTGACTCTCGAGAGGCACCAGAAAATCCCACTTCAGCTTGTTACGAGAGTCATTGAGGTTAGCAAAGCATTTTTTCCTGTTGTCCTCAGTGGCTCTTCAGGTATAATGCGGTAAAACACCCACATACTGCTGGGCCCACTGCTAAGCCGTCCACAAGGACAGTGTTTGTCTCTCTAGTGCTCTCTGGGTATTTTCTTTTCAAACCTGCACTTTGAATTTGGAAGAAAGGTCCCTCGTACAGCAGGATATCTTTTATGATACTCAGAGAAAAGCACCAGATGTGTAACATCCCCCCTCCTGTGGGCCTTTTTCCACAGACATTCAAAATAATATTAATAATTAAAAAAACTGCATTTATTGCGCAATAAAATAATTGTAGACGTTAATTTATTAATCCTAAAAGGTAATAGCGCGTTAACTCAGCCCTGATATCTATGCTTAAAGGCAATAAAACCTGAACAGAAAGTTGGTTTGGTTCTTACAGGGATCATTGTCAATGTCTACTGACTGTTTAACTACCAACTACATAACCAAGTTAATGAATATTGGTTCTGCTCAGATGAGGTGTTTTTCTCTTTGTCTACATTCCTTGTTTTGCCTGATCAGAGAACAAGGGGAGACAATTAGATGGGTTCTCTCAGATCTTCCCTCCGCCCCGACTTCTTCGGCTGGTAGTCGCTGACAGAATTGATTACATGCAGCAGGAGCACTTTGTCAGGCGCAGATGCACTTTTCACAGTGTGTCACTAGAAACAAAGGGACGGCATTAAAGCTTTCGTAACACCCTCCAAAACTTTTGATTTTCCCCTCGGTTGAGCAGAAAACGCCAGGAAGACTGCGATCTCAAATTAATTGGCAGCGTGTCAGCGGCGTATTTACATTTTGTTCTTTTAAAGATGCAATTAATTACCAGAGATGAAGGAATCTGCAGAGAGATGATATGCGTAGCGCTGGTTGCCCGCCCCCCTGCAGACTGTCTCCTGCTCCAAGGGAGGGTAGGCAGGCTTGCCAATTAAACGCAGACTAAAAAAGACCCAAAGCTGCCATGTTTCGGCAGGTAAAAACGCCCAAATTTAAAGTGCTTGGCAGGAGATGTAACAGACAGAAGGTAGGATGTGGTTTGCAAATGTTTGTGCTTCAAGCTACACTAGGAAGATGTAACAAAATGGCCCCTTTCAAGAGTTTTGTAACTCAGGGAAACTCTGGCAAATTGGGTGCAGATAAGGCATAAACTGTGTGCCGTGCATTGAGTTAAGGGCCCCAATTTGTTCAGCTTTAAAAAAAAATAAAATGAGCTTTTCTTCAATGTAAAACTAACAGCACTCAACCAGGGAAATGTGATTTAAGTCTGTCTGGCATTCATCATCAAGGGAGCAGTTCCATCGATATGCCACAGTCTTCCCTGTCTAGACTCTTGGGTTATTTATATCTGTGGAGTTAATGAAACACAGAACACATTCAGGCAAGGAAGTGAGGCAATGGAGCATCTCTGTCTGGTAAAATGTGTCCTTGTTGATGTTGTTGATTCTTTTCTCTCAAGCATCTCCACCTGTTAAATGTGGCTGCACGTTTTCTCTCCCCCCATGGGACGTCCCTAATAAGCCACGCGCCCGTGTCTCCAGCCACCGGCCTCTGAGAGACAGGCGCCACAACGAGGGCTCGGCTGGCTCTGTTTCTTAATGCACAAACAACACAAAGTAACGCTGTGGGAAAAAAAAATACCTTGAGGCAAATGAAGCATTTTTGTCCCACGCCAGTGACCACAAACGCAGCAACAGAGTCTGCTGCAGTTTCTTTAAAAGCAACATATGCTTTTGTACTGGATATACATTAGTCATAAGAGTAAGGCAGAAAAGAGGGTAGTCGGGGGGGGAGGCAATTTAAGTTTTGCAATAACATCTCAAATGCCCCACATTTCCACTCTGGCAGTGAGTACGGGAAAGTTTGAGAAGAAAGAAAGTTTGATGTAGGAACATAAAAAGGAATAATGCTAGATACCTCGGGACCTTGCTCGCTTCGCAAATTCCCGTGAAGACCAAAGAGAGCCCTTTTAAAGAGCTTGTATAATTGATTCCACCCAGAGGTATCCCAAGGCAATCACCTACCCCACCAAAAGCCAGCACTAAAGCCCTGTGTAAAGAGAGCCTGTTTTTGTGCCGTGCTATTGCTCTTTTCTTTTTTCCTTTTTTGGAGCTTACATCTGCGAGTGTGAATAACTGCGCAGCGAGGCAAAGCTGAATAAACATTGTCTGAATAGGTGATTGATGGATCAATTTGGGTCCCTTGTTTCCTAGCGATGGTGGCGGCATTCACATTGATTATATTGGCTGTGATCGCCGGCCAAAATACAG